ACACTCCACTCAAAATAAATACGAATCTATATTAACGGTAATCAATGATCTACAAATCTGGTAACCGTGGGGGTCATTCCCAGTCTTACTATCTAGTGCTATAGAAAATGTTGGTCTCAATGCTGACGAACAACTAAGATATGTGAAGATGAACACCAGATAAACACCAGATGAGCACCAACATTATCTTCTTCTTCTCCTAGCAGTGAGCTACAAGAAGGGGCAGCCTTGAATGACTATCATAGTCACCAGGTTTATCGACCTTCAATTTCCTGAATAATGAAATCTATTGAACAAAACCATACTGATTGGATTAATTTTGAGCCAGAGGATCCAATTCTACCTATGTAGATGATGCTCGTACAATACTGACCTCAAATATTATAAGAACGTACAACATAATCAAAACCAGAGCTCCATAAATGATACCGTCATTGACGTCAATCGGGTGTAGATTGTATCCCATAGAAACAGGAAAATTCGTATTCAGATTTGTCTTGAACTGGATTCTCAACATTTTGTAAGAGGCGTCGTCTACTTCGAATTCGTTAAGGTCGATTATTTTCAAATGATCTACTTCTGGTACTTGACCGATCATCTTTTCTGGTACTATAGGAACTTTCCACGCCTCAGACACGTTCTGAAACAAATTTTAAATGTTCAAACTAAGCACTATTGAATAAAACTGATGAAAACAACAGAAATAAGGTATCTTTCGACGCGTATTTCGCCTAATCAAGTTAGCATCGTCGTTTTGAATCAACTTTAAATTTTTTTGCGTCTTCATTTTGCTTGGCTAACTCTTTCTGTTTATTTCCAAGAAATTCAATAAATACCTAACCAATAAATACCTCTGGATCTACAGCTGGCTCAGTGTGTTTGAACGCAGGAAATATTTCAAGCACTGGTTGTACATTGGTGCTGGCTTTCAGATTGTCTTCAGATTTCGTAGCCACTTTTTTCTATTGCTGATTTAGCAGTGAAGATGATCTCTGTTTCGGAATGGTTGGCAAATTTGACAATCAACCTTTGATTTCTATTCACTCACTATCTTCCACCAATGAACTTTAAACGGTCGGAAAAATACCACGTCTAGCTGGTTTCTCCTCGCTGTGTGTTTCTCTTGTGCTCAGCAGTAAGGACTTTCCATGGCCTCTTAGTCTAACCGATATAGGATTTGCCGCACTCACATGGTATCCGGTAAAGCAATTCTTGGAATCGCAGTCCGCGTTTGGTGGCCTGGTTTTCGTGAGGCTGCTATGGATAGTGTTTCTGGATCTGAAACAGGTTCAGATGTTGTACTTGGACCCAATTATTCTCATCCTTTACGACAATCCTCTGACGTAAGGAAGGGCTAGCACTGGTTGTAACGGCTTCTTTTTCTTGTGAGGATTCACTAGATTCACCAAAGTCTTGATGATTCCTCTTTTGGTAGGTTGATGATGGTTGGATTTGTGATTCAGATACTGTCCCGTATGAGTAGGTTTTTCAGTGTACAGATGTTTCTCACTCAGTGTTAGTCCTCTTCATCAATACGTCTAAGAATGGCAATTCGTTGTGGATTCCTTCTCCATTGTGAAAGTAATGGAAGGACTTACGTTGTTGATGTACTTCACGAAGGTGTCTAGTTCTGCTATGGTTCCATACTATGAAAGTTTCGTCAACCTATCTCAACCAGACTCGGGGCTTCTTGTGGGCTTTTTCAATGGCCAGAGTTTCGAACTACTCCATATATACGTTGGCTATGACTGGTGAAAGTGGCAATCCCATTGGCAGTCCCTCATCTCGCGTAATAAATTCGTCCTTCAGTTGGAAATAGCAGTTCCGTATACATCTTCCTAGAACGTCCGTAATTACTTCTATAGGTAAGTTTGTTCTATCTTTCAGGTCCTCGTTTACGGATAGCTTTCTCTGTATGATTCAAAGTGCTTCTTCGACAGGAACGTTGGTATACCTGAAGGCTTCCCACGCCGAAACTGATTGATTTTCTTGCTCCGTGATTTCAATTGCCTCCAGTAATTCGACGAAATGCCTTGAATTCTTCACAGAAGATATTTTTTCCTTGTAGAGGTTGTATATCTGTATTTGTAGAGTAGGGAGGGTGAGTGTAAGCCCACGCACTTAGGCCACATGTGACCCATCAGAGGTTGTATAATTCAAAGTGAAAATCTGGCCTAAAATTTTAGTTTCATAATTAACGTATGGTGGTAAGAGTTCTCCTGCTGCATTACCATACATCATCAGACAAATAGTGCTGTAATGTCATGTTGTAACATGTTGTACATGTTCGAACCAAACTATGCGTTAGAAGTCTTAGACCGCGAAGAGTGGAGAATGAAAGTTATCGCGAGAACATGACTTGGCAGGAACACCTGGTATACAGACGAGTCGAAAACCGAACAGGAGATGGAAGCTGGAATATACTGTGCGGTGAGAAATCTTCATTCATTTCAGTTACTTACTCGGTCAGTATACATCAGTATTCCAGGCTAAAGTGTATGCAACAGCCAGGCTGTGATAAGGGCACTAACACTGGACACTGTTCTGTAAGAGGACATCCGAACAAAATGAGCAGAGGCAGCTGGTGATATTTGATGCGAATGTGGGTATTTCAATTACAAGAGGTTAACAATGTATGTACAACCTAAATTAGTTCCAGGTGAATATGACATACGTCCAGCATGAGACATATACAGACTAGTAAAGGAAACAAGATTGTTGGAATGAGTTTCATGAAAAACATGGGAAAAAACGCAATAATTATTTGAGACTGCAGTGTTTCTCGTAGACTTGGAAGCAATAGGTGAATTAGGCGACCCCCTGGAAGGAAGAACACCAGTGGTCTGTGTTGTTTAGGGCTTCCGACTATTTAGTGTCACGTTTTCTTGCAACTTGTTGCGTCATCAACCAAATGAATTTTATCATAATTATATATCAATTATATGCGAAAGCATTTATTTGTGTGGGAAAGTGAAAATGGAAGTGAGCCCTATCAGATATAAGTAGAGACCATTTTTAAAGTTAAGAATCAGTGTACTAAATTTTGTGGAGACGCCAACTTGGTTGGTGAAAACGAGCGTCGAGGATTCAGTTCTACCTTTCATTTTCTGCTATATTTACCTGAATAGACAACACTTCGAACTCCCGAATCTGAATGTACCTGGAAGGTTCTTCTCTGGTAACCATTAGCTGAACCCAAACAGTCATCCATTCTCTTGACATTTCCTCGTAATAAGAAGGAAGTAGTGCTCCTCTCAACATAACTTGGACTTTATTTTCTCTCGGCTCTTCGTATATAACGTGACCTTAAAGTTGAAAACACGATTGAAACATTCTTTAGTCACTTAAAATACGAATGAAAACTTCACAAACGTTGGAAATCATACAGATATTTTTTATGAACTTTCGGTGAGAGAAATTTGACACACTGTGTATTGTCAGGTTCGATTATCCTGATTATCCTTGTACATTATATACAGTATACAATGCTCGGACTGCAACAAATTCTATATCGGACAAACCAAAAAAAAAAATGATCCAAACCCAATAACATATAAATCAAACCTCGCCATACAAAACAAACATAACTTTTCCCCACTAGAAAAAACATCAAACTCATAAAACAAGTATGGACATCTGGGAACACCTAAACATCCATAAATTCAAAAATCATAATTCACTTATCTAGGTACAAATACAAATCAAAACACTGCAAGACCTAACATTCAATATAATACACAATAAGCAGGGAAGTATTTTAGGACGCTTGATGTTTTCAGTGTTTATTTTTGATTACCCCACTTTCTTATAACATTGTCAAGTACATCTATACGCAGATGATATACAGTTGTATTTGTCTTCTCATAACACCGATACAGAGAGTTGCGTGGCAAATATAAACACAAATTCACACAAAACATTCCTATACTCGAAGAATCAATTCAAATAAAACATCATGCATAGGGTCTCAAAGACAAATAGTAGAAACTCAGTGTAACTTTAGGCTCACTCTCGATAACGCAGACATTGACTGTGTAGACAGTGCTAACAATCTTGGGGTAACCATAGATAGCTCTTTGTCTTTCCATGAACATGTGACAAACATTTTCAAAGTATCATTCTTCAAACTCAAATCGCTATATAAATTCATGTATCAGTTATCAGAAGAAATGAAACTCAGGTTAGTTAAAACTCTTATTTACCACCATATCGAGTATTGTTGTTCTTTGTATTACAATTTTTGCCACAATATAACAAGCAGAAGTTACAACGTATACAAAATACTCGCATGCGATTCATATGCTGTATACCATATGGTGAACATTTCACACCATTTTTGTTAAAAATGAAGGAGCTGAATATGCGGTACAGAGTCCAAAAATTGATAAACATTTTTCTGTTCAAGTTGCTTCAATCTAAAACACCTAGTTATTGATATAGTTTTTTAAGCAGGCATCCTGACATACATATGGTCAATTTGAGAATTAACTCATTCAACACATCTAGGCACCGTACTTCCAAATTTCAAGGATATTTTTCTTATATAGTCCCTTCTTATCTGAATGAAATTTCCCCTCTCTCAAATCATAATATCCATCAATTTAAGAAATAAATAAAATCACAGGTGCTTACCGTTCAGTGCCAATTTAAAAAATTTAAAATTCAATGTATGGTACTTCAATGAAATCGTTAAATTAACCAAAATAATGTTAAGAATATCAAGAGTTATCAGCAACTGTATGCTCTATTATTTTTTCTCTTCTATATCATTGTTATGATAGTAAATAAGTATTTTTATAATTATTTTCTTACACTCACTGTATAATTTTTGGGAGGGGTGGGAGATAGTCTTTGGCTAACCGTTTTCCTTTTATATATAAATGTATTTTTTATGCATAATAATAAATGATATTATTATTATTATTAAAATGTGTAAAATCTATCGAATTCCTGTTATCCTACGCAAAAAACCTTTTGATAAACGTGAAACATATCTATACCTCCAAAACAAGCACCGAAAGATAGAGCCCATACCAAAGGCTGAAGGGGCAAACCCAACTCCTTGTTTTCTGATAGGTTGATGGCTATTTTGACCATCATGGTCGTGAGTGGTAGATTATCCACAAAAGAGGATGTTGAAGCGGAGATCCACAAAATCAATATTATAGCTGCTGCTAATCTGGAGTCGGGACTCACTGATGTGATTAAGGATTCAGTTTGTTTCCCAATCCAGCCTATCAACCCTAGGCGAGTGAGAGCCTGAAAAAAAAGGTTAATGAATCGACATATCGAAAGTTTCAATCACTGTCTTTATCATAGAAGTTGCAAGAAAACAACAACATAAACAATATCAAGTCAAAGTTCAAAGTTGAGCTTTGCCATTCATTGAGACTATGGACTTATAATTATAGAAACGTAAACAATGAAACATAGACAAATATATCAACTTAATTGTTTGATAATATACTTTTGAATCAACTAGATTATTGTTCATCCCTTGATAACGCCAAATCAGTCAACAAAACACACATTGGGAAGATTATTGCAGTTCTGAAGTATCGAGCAGTTTCCAGTCCTTCTTTTCCTTCCTCCAAATCAATTTGATTCCTACCAGTTCCATACGATCAAAAATATTCCAGAACTAAATCTCCAAATCCACTATAAGAAAGCCTATTATTCATTCATTCACTCATTCATTCACTCACTCATTCATCTATTCAGTTTGTGATGGGTCAGTCTCAACCGATGAAAAAAATTAAAAATTATCAATATCAAAAAATGAAAAATGAAAATGAAAAGATTTCAAACCAAGTTATGTCGTTTTGAATGTTATGATCGTTTTGAAGAAATAAGAAGAGAGACCTTGGAAGAGGATCATGGACCAATCTTTGCCAAGATTGAAAGCACGTGCTTGAAGATCCGACAAGACATGGAGAATACCCACAACAGGAAATGGGGAAAGTTAGTAAGGAAACAATGCCCAAATGCAGAACAAGAACAGGCCAACTATGAAGCCGCCAACGTCATCAACATGAGTTTCCGCCCGCTCACGGACATAGAGAAATCTTTGTTGAGGAAAGGTCTAAACTTCGCCATTGCACCAACATCTGTGCCCACTTTGGAAATAACAACTGCAGTAAAATTCACCAGTGCCCTTATTGATCAGATCGAGGCAGAAGGATTCAGATGGAAAATCAGAGAACAGCTAGATCGAGAACTAGTTCCAACTTTTAACATCAGCAATGAAGAACGAAGAGCTCTGAACGGACTACGGAGAGACAACACCATCAAGATCTTACCTGCAGATAAGGGAAACGCTACTGTTGTGATGAATATTGATCTCTAGGAAAAGAAGATCGAAGAGGTGCTTCACAAAGGAAAATACACGAAGATTGTAAGAGACTCTACTGCATCAATTGAAAGGAAGTTGTGCCAGACTTTGAAAAAAACACGAAGTCTATTTTACGGAAAAAGAGGGATCATTGCTAACAACGCACCACAGTAAGCCCTCTCACCTGTATGTATTACCCAAAATCCACAAAGAGGATGTTCCGCTCAGACCGATCATTAACTCCAGATATTCAGCCACTCAGAAATTGTCCAGATTTTCACTACCAATAATTAAATCATATCGTTGAACTACTAGGGGAAATCGAAGTCAAAGAGCAGAATCAACTGATAAGTTTCGACCTGGAAAGCCTCTACAAAGCCTCTTCAAATCATACAGAAGAAGATATCCGAAGATGGGGACCTGAAAGACAGAACAAACCTAACGATACAAGTAATCATGGAATTACTCTAGGATGCTGTGTACGAAACTGCTACTTTCAACCGAAGGCCGAATTCTTTACGCAAGATGAGGGACTGCCAATGGGATCGCCACTTTCACCTGTTATAGCCAATATATATATGGAGTGTTTTGAAACTCTAGCCATTGAAGAAGCTCACAAGAAGCCCCGAGTCTGGTTGAGATACATAGACGACACCTTCATAATATGGAACGGCCTGATGACTTCGACATTTGCGGAACTAGCCAAAAGTCACACCCATGCTCAATCCTTAAAGAGATGGGATGGAATCAAAGGATGCAGTCTTGCCAGAATGACCCTGGGCGACCCTGGAAATGTGGCGCCAAAGAAATATCTGACGATGACCAAGAACAACCGTCGCTTAACAGTAATATTTCTGACTGACCACTGTCAACTAAGAAAACACCTTCATAATATGGGGCTAGTGTACACACCTTTATGCAATGTGTGCCGTTATAAAGGAGATGTCCCCTAGTGACCTGTCCACCTTCCTGGAAAGGGCAGGATGTACGATGATCTAGAAGGACAACTCTTCGGGAGGATATACAATGGGTCACACGTGGCCTCAGTGCTGTGGGCCTATACTCACCTTCCCTGCTCTACAGATACAGATAGAACACTTACACGACACAGTAGAATAAATATTTATTGTGCTTCAAAACCACATGACATTAAAATATACAAACCTTTTTAAACAACCTAGATAAATCATATTTCGAGTGTACAAATTTCATTCGTTTTATCTATTAGTGACATTTCTGGCATTAATTTCACTCACCTCCATCATGATAAACAGTGATGCAAAAAAAATCAGAGTTGACCACTCAACTCTGGCAAGTACGGCTTCTAGGTCATGACTATCGTAAAGAAGAAGAAGTAGTAATGCGCCCAAAAACGCGGTCCATCCTAAACCCAGTTTACCTACAAACGAATTTTACTGATGTGATTGGAAAGTGAAATATTCATTTCATGGCCACTCACTCAGTGCCGGAATGCTATTCAGGAAAAACACGCAGATAACTATGAATAAAGTCACTCCAGACTTTACCAATAAACTCTTGTTACGGATGGGATACTGAAAGAAAAACAATATTGGTTTAGAAAACCCCTTAGTGAAAATCAAAATGATTATCAATACGTTTTGATATGAATTTGAGAAATGTCTTCTACATTTGAGTTTCTAATCACATAAATGAAGTAATTATGATACAAGTTTAATTTTTTTTAATAAAAACCTAAGTTTCTTTTCAAAATGTACATATTAAACATTTTTTCATATACACGAGTTAATTTATGTAGTTTCAACAAAGCTTGGAATACAAGAAGGAAAAACAATCGAAAACAACTGAATTTCAAGTTCTCGGAAGGTCGCTGATGAAAAGGGAGTCCAGCGTGGGAGAGAGCATGACCCCCTGTGGCACTCCAGCGAGGATCTCTCTGTTGTCAGACAGAGAGCCCTCTACTCTAACCTGAAATGTTGGGTCTTTCAGGAAGGACCCAATCCGCCGGATCAGGCCCCGAGGCAGGTCGAACGCGATTAATTTATGCAGAAGGCCTTCGTGACATACATGGTCACAAGCCTTCGAGATGTCTAATAAAACGACATGGACTTTTCGATCCTGATTCAGTTCCGCGATGGTTTTTTCGACCAATCTCACAGCCTGTAACTCAGTGGAGTGTTCTCTCCTGAAGCCGACCTGTTCGTCAGGCAGAACATTTCAGTCCTCTACTTCTTCGTTGAGTCTTTACAGAACGACTCTTTCAGCCAGCTTAGCTGCCGATGAGAGCAGACTAATCGGGCGATAGTTCTGCGGGAACAGCTGGTTTTGACCCTGTTTTGGGATCATGACGACGATCGCATGCTTCCACCTTCTGGGGCACTGTTTATGATATGTAGAAGGATTTCGACGCAGTTGTCCGGGAGTCTTTTCAAAAATGTATTAGTTATTGAATCGACCCCCGGGGCTTTCTTGGCCTTTGCGGCCCTGATGTAACCCTTCAGCTCTTCCACAGAAGCCGGACGGATGTTATCGTCATCATCCTCCCTGAGGATACGGTGTACCCAACAGCATATCGCGGTCGATGTCGTCATTGTCGTCAACGTTAAAATAAAACTGACGTCTCATCGTGTCGGCAAAGGCCAACGCTTTGTCGGCGGGGGAGTAGCACACTTCCCGCTTTCCACAGAAACCGGACGGATGTTATCGTCGTCATCCTCCCTGAGGATGCGGTGTACCCGAACTTCTAACAGCATATCGCGGTCGATGTCGTCATTGTCGTCAACGTTAAGTTGAAAATGACGTTTCATCGTGTCGGCAAAGGCCAACGCTTTGTCGGCGGGGGAGTAGCACACTCCCCGCTCTCCGTGAATAGGTGAGGGAGCAGTCTTTTTCCCTCTGAGTCTGCGGGCGACTCGCCAACGCTCGTCCTTCCCAGTCTCTAGGGATTCCAAGAGCTCCTCCCACCCTTCATTTCGGTGATCATCGATGGCCTGTTTAACTTGGTTGGCCATCCTGCTTGCCGCAATTTCGTCTACTAGAAAAAGGGTTCGCCCCTCTTTTCTCTCTCCACTTCACCGGTTTAGCGTTAGTTGATCGTTTGGCGGGAGTTGACCGGTTTCCATATGTTGCGTATTTTTACGTTAGCGTGACTGAATGCGTCATTGGACATAATATATGCAGCGTCTTTGAACTTCTTCTTAAATCAGTGACCCTTCCAGTGGATGATTTCAACTTGGGACCACTTAATGACTTAATATTGATGACTCCAAACATGCTCTGCTAGTCCCGATTTGCTGGTTTCTCCTCGCTGTGTGTTGTGCTCGGCAATGCGGACTTTTAATGGCCTCTCAGTTTCACCGATATAGGATTTTCCGCACTCACAGGGTATCCGGTAAATGCAATTCTTGGAATCTTAGTCCGCGTTTGGTGGCCTGCTACGGGTTGCTAAGGATGGTGTTTCCGGATCTGACGCAGATTCTGATGTACTCTGACCCAATTATTCTTATCCTTTTTGGCAATCCTCTCACGTAGGGTTGTACAAGCAGTGGTTATGATGGTGACTGTTAGGAGGGAGTTCGTTTTCCGCTCTTGATTACCGATTTCCGTATGTTGCGTATCTCTACGCTAGCTTGGCTGAATGTGTCTTTTGATAACATGATGTTTGTCACCACTCTCAAACAAACTTATGAAAGTTACTATGTATGCAATGAACTATACTCCTTGATTACCTCTAACAAGACTTGGTTCTTTGTATAAAGAATTTCTCTTGGGGCCTGTAATTGGATCTTATGATACTTGATAAGTTCGTTTCAATGTTTGTCTCTTTCTCCCGGGGTTGGGTATTTTCGTTGGAAACCATGGAGAATATTGTTGCCTCTTCCTCATAACAGGTGAAGGAGAAAAAGAAAAATATTGTCTAGCCATCAAGAACGGTAATGAGTATTCACTGGTTAAAAATAATGGCGATTGGGAAAGAGACTGTGAACGAGTATCTTCAACAAATGGTTCAATTGAATTGTGTTTCAGAAAATGACCTCATGGAGTATACCTGTTTCTCTAAATCTTCAATCGTGGTCGAATTCTTACTTTCATCTACTGCCTCTCCGATAATATCGAGTTGACTATCTATATGACTACTGATATTGCTCTCGGTATGTCTTCGAAGCCTCATTTGGAGCTGCTGTGTTTGTTTCAATAGGGTGTCTTTAACAATATCTTCGTCTTTGCTGTACCTGCTTACAGAAGCCGCTGTTCTTTCCCAGACAGCAAGTTCGGCCTTGAGATCTGAAGAAGAAAAGATAGAAGAAGATGAGTTACACTTCAAAATTGTATCGCACAATAAGTCGATATCAACATGAATTTTTTGAGTACAATATAATGATTTTGTACAGTTTTGAATAACATATTTTTCTAACCTCTTTCCATTCGAATGTAAGTTACAAAATTGAAATCCATATCTCATAATCTGTTCCAAAATGTTGAAAAATCAATACCAGATTTGAAAAACCAATCACTAGCTTCATTCAGATAGTTTTTCTCTCCCCACTTTTCTATTGAATTATCAAAACTAATATTTTTTTCATGACAAAACACAAGCACTACGAAAAAATCCTTAAGGCGCCTTAAGAGGGTCGCCCAAAGTGATCCTGGCAAGATTACATCCTTTGATTCCATCCCATCTCTTTGAGGATTGAGCATCGGTGTAACTTTTGACTAGTTCCGCAATTGTCGAAGTCATCCGACTGTAGGTGCCACTGGGTCATAAAATTCTTAGTCCAGCCTCTTCCTTGGCTAAAGAGTCGGCAGTGCGATTACCTTTACTCCTGTCATGCCCTTCAACCCAACTCAGGATAATGTTATCATCTACCGAGGCTTTGGCTAAATCTTGGTGACACTCTAGTACTAGCCCTGAGGTTATACGTTGTCTGTTCAAGACTAATAGGGTTTGTCTGCTGTCAGTGCAGATTGTTATGTTTTTGCCAGAAATTCATTTTTTGGTTATTTCTTTTGTGGCGATTGAGATACCAGCCAGTCCTGTTTGGACCACGCTGGTATTTCTTCCCAATCCCCACTTAATCCTTAGGCTTAGTGATCTGGAGTACACTCCACATCCCAAGCCTTCTTTGGTTTTTGAGCCGTCTGTATAAATCCGTATTGCATTTGTAGCATCTGACTCTAACTCTGTGCCAAGACACATTAGTGTCCATTTTAACCCCCAACAAACGTATCGAAGCTGAAAGCGGAATTGTCTGTCCTGAGATTATTATATCCGTTTTATAGACATTTATATTTCTGAAGGAAACCGATGCCTGAGTTTTCGTGGCATTAAATTTGAACCTGGTTACTTTCACCACCCCAATTCTAAATCACCTCTAGGTCCTCATTGAGATATGCAACCTTCTTCTGCCGGTGAAGATGTACATCCGCAACCGATGTTCTGGAATCCAAATGAAATGACGAAGCAAGTGTGCTGTCGTCAGCAAAACTATATATTGGATTCTTGGTTTTTTCAAATAAGTTGTTGATATATTGGGGACATTATAGCTCCCTAGGGAACACCAGTGTTGATGGTAAAATTATTTGAGAGATATCCATCGAGGGCTAGTTGCAGGAAACGTTTTTTGCAGGGAGCTGGAGAGCCGAACACAAAAATCAGCCTACAAGCTGAGGGTTGGCCAGCAAACCCTCAGGCCACACACACAGTCAAAGGCCTTAGAAATAGCAAGCACCACAGCTGTCGACTCTCCATGTTTCTCGACTGCGTTATTCTAAATTTATCACTTCAAGTACTGATTTTTCTGCCATTTTTTATAACTTTTGGATTTTAAAACACGACGATTCGAAATTGCGAAACATCGTTAGCAACAAACTACAAAGCATTCAGGCCTGAATAGCATAATTAACATTATAATCAGAAAAACTAGCTGAAATTGAAGCATAGTATTTTGAATTTCACAGAGATACTGAAGTTATCCTTCCGAATGTATAGTAGATTTTTTAGTTCGGAGTCTAACATTATTTTTGAATGGCATACTTAGTTTAATCCTATTCGTATCCTGACATAGTTCAAGCACCCCGTGGGTTGGCCTACCTATCGGGCGCGTTGCCAGGTGGCGGATAGGGGAACGGCCAGGGGACTGGCCTTACGGACGGGGTCGCCGGACTCCTGGTCAGTGGCAGAAATAAGTACGGTGAGGGGAACTAAAACTCCTCAGAAGCCTTTGCAAAACATACCACCATGGACCAGCCTACCCAAGCTAAGGTATAATGAATCGTGCCGACAGCTGAATTGCCGCAGGGTGATATGTAGTTACGAACGATCCCTTTAGGGAACTTTGCGAAACCTCATTGTAATTAGCCTACCTCTGGTAATGCGGGGCTCTGCCAGAGGTGACCAACTCTTCCCTTGCTACTCGTGGGAACACACATGAATGAAACAAACACAAAAACAGGAACAACAAAAACAAAAACCAATCCCGAGGGTGGACAGAAGAGCTCACCTCAACCTAAGGCGGGCGCTGAGGATGAACAGAAATGTTCACCCTAATCTACCGCTTGGAATGAGGCTGGACAGGCTGGATGAGGCAGATCACTTCGTGATGTAATACAAAGGCCAAGGCGTAAGCGCATTTGCGGCACCGAGTCCAAAAAAAGAAAGGGAGCGAAGGAAGCAGGAGTGGCAGCAACTATAAGTGCACCCTCCTCCACCTCCAACAGCGAGGGCACTTCCTGCGGCGGGCGCCAAGAGCTCCGCCTTGAATAAAGGCAAGAAACCTTCGTGGAGGCCACCGTGAGACATCTCAAGGTTGCCAAAGAGAGTGTGTGTTCGGCGAGTTTCGACCTACACCTGCCAAAATAAAGGAGATGTGTCCTAGTGGCCTGTCCACCATCCTGGAAAGGACAGGATGGATGATGACCTAGGAGGACAACTCCTCGGGAGGATGTACAATGGGTCACATGTGGACTAAGTGCTGTGGGTCTACACTCAACCTCCCTACTCAACAGATACAGATACAGATAGTTCAAGCACCTCAAGTACAAATATCACTGTATTTCAGGAAACCTACACGTTACAAATCGCATTTAACCACTCCTGTTTCAACCACTCTGCAGTTTGACTTACAGTGAAGATTTTCCGAAATAATTCCATCAATTACATACCAGATTCTTCATGATTTTGAAAATTTTCATCTTGAACAAAATCTACTGATATAGAACAACTACTTACAATTTCTTACCTTTCAGTTCTGTAGGTTCATCGTAAGCATAGTACTTTTTATCTCTGTATAAGATGCGAATTTGAATATAAACAACAACGAGGACAAGCAAAGCTCCTGCACCCATATGAATTGTAAATATACCAAAATTGACCCCCTGAAAGTAATGGAGTATTTTTGAAACTTTCACATTTGCTGCAAATCATAAGGATTTGTTCAGGAAATAATGATAAACTTCTACTAATGTTGGAGCTTATTCCATCAGCTACTTACTGATTGTACAACTTTTTGGTTATTTGCGATGATGACATTAGGAGGATCTCCTATTGGGGTTATTGCTCCTCCTATGTTGGCAAAGATCAGTGTATACATCAATATTTGTCGTGGATTCACTTTCATCACTTCGCATAACCTGAAAATATGTTTTTTGATCAGTAAATTATTCCCCGGACTGATCAATGTTTTGACTAACTTTAAAGAGCTGCTGAACCTCTAATTCGACAAGAAAAATCAATGAACGAAAGAATAAAAGAAATATATAAGAAACCAGATTCGCCTTTGATTACTTTTCATTTGTTCAACAATTCAAAGAAAAAGTTGCCCACTTTGGAGCCCTAAAATGAGCAGCCCTACCTTAGATCAGGTTCTCCATTTTTTTTTCGGTCCAATTTATTGAACGCTATTTTTACTCCTTTTTTCGTGCACAAATACTGTTCAAATACTGTACTGTTCAAAGTGCCCCTGTATGAGTCGAAGATGTCAAAATGGTGAATAGCCAGTTTTATGATCGAAATTCAACAACCTTATGCTATGTTTGGAAGGCGAACCTCACAACGAATATTACAACGATCGTCTAATGTGAACCTTATGAGAAATTGAAACTGTTTTCTAAAAAAGGATTCCATATTTCTGAGAACTCGACTTTACTTCTTACCTATCTGTGCCAGGATATGATACACCCTTTCACTCTCTAGTACTGGGAGTAATGTCAGGGAAAAGCATAATCTATGTTACTCTTAAATAACTATCATACAACACAAAACAGGACCAATGAATTTCCAAATGAATTTAGTTTCCAGCGATTCAAATCCAACGTGAATCACTACTTTCGCACAGGCACCGCTCTTAGAGCGCCCCAGAGATTTTCCTGTAGTGCTTGTGTTTTGTCTTTAAAAAAATGCAGTAATTTGAGAACTCTAAGTGATAACCTAATCGTATAGAATGAAAGTATACGAATCATATTTCGATGAACTGAATTTCCATATATTACTGGAGTTTTTCCCAACACCAAACCGTTATTTTAACACTTCGACACGTGTTTCGATCACCAAGTGATCATCTTCAAGAGGAAAATCAAATTTCCTCTTGAAGAAAAACGTGTCGAGATGTTAAAATAACGATTCGGTGTTGGGAAAAACCTCCAGTAATATTCATTACCACACCAAAGATTCCAAACAGTGCATCACAAGTGCATGAACTTTCCTAGTCTAAGATATTGGTTACGAAAGGCCTGATAGACAAGAATAGATTGACCCAATAATGAACATAAAAATACCCAGTAGCAACGCCAAATATCTGCTCTGAACCCAATACTGAAGACAAGGATACCCAGAACAGCCAGCGTCAACGCCGAATACTCGTATCTGCTTTGAAGCAGCTACATGGGAACCAAAATCTTTTGAACGTCACCAGATCGGGAAATAAGTCAATAAGAAACCAAAAGAATATATACTGGGAAAATATACCAATGGGAACACAAAGAAAACTTGTATAGAAAGGTCCTTAGAGATGAGAACTGATGAACTTTTTTTTCAATCGGTGCTACATGGAATTCTCATATATTGACCTACCACTGATGTACATTCACAACAAATAATAAATAAATATCTATCTGGCTATCAATACTTCGAAATGACTGATTGTAATTGAAGTATTCCTTGTACATAAAAAACCAAATAAAAATTCGGCTATAGTGAAAAATCAAACCGGGGACAAGCTCAAGTTACTTTCCACAAAATATTTTCAATGGATTTAGAAACAATGAAGAAGAGAGAAATGAAACTTTCTATGTTTTTTTACCACTTTTATTTGTAACTAACGTTACTGCAGTTTTGTCTTATACGGACATTTTCAAACTAACAATGGTTCATTATATTAGCCATTCTATACCGCCCCTGTAAGTACTAATTGAGGTACTTGGCTTGATTGAGTACCTGAATTTACAGTTTACAATGCGGATGTGCCAATTTGAAAACCGGCTAGTAAACTAAATCGATTTGATCATTTAAGAGGTTGCACCCTCAATATTTATGCTTGTGAATTTCCAAGGATTCTAAATAATTGAGTTTGTAACCCTTTCTTACATAGTGCAAAATTTCCGTATCGTTTAGATTCGGAAAATTGTGGTTGCATGCCAAGGAATGGTTTGAAAACGTCGAATCTTTTTTACCTAGTCTAAAGGACCTTTCATGTTCAGCATACCGTTTTTGGAAATTTCGGCCACATTGTCCCACATAAACACTATAACACTCCGGACACTTAAGCTTATACACTCCAGATTTCTCCAACTTGTCCAACTTTCTTTGGCATTGAAAAGGAAATGAGATAACCTGGCATGTGGTCTGAATGCCACTTCCACATTGTTTTTTCTGAAGAAACCCGCAATTATCTCTGTTCTTTTTCCTTAATATGTTAGCGTTACCCATTTCTTGATTTCTGGTTGTTTGACCTGAGGGTATATTAATCTGTAAGTGAATTTACGGCTTTGTTTTCTGACTAACTTCTGGATAGTATCTGCTTTGAAACCATTATTATGACCTATCTGTGTAATTATATCAATTTTCCTAGCTAGATTGTTAGCAGAAGAACGCTATGTGCAACACTGAATTGTAGGCTGCTAATTTATGACTGTTTGGATGAAACAAACGGCTACATCCACCAATTTATGGATTTAGAAACATTTGAATGTTTCATTTGTCGAAATTATGAGGTAAAAATCTCTTTTAGAATGTATCAACATTATACCATTATTATACCTACTTGATGGTGATAGGTGTAATCAAAAGAGCAGTCGTTACATTATCCAGAAAGAAAGAGACTATAGTTGTGAGAAGGCATAACATATTTATCAGTGGCCACAATCTCCCTTTCGCTTTCTGAAAAATAAGTTTCAAATTATTCGATTTTGCCAACTACCCACTTTATTTCTTTGGTTGGAAATAAGAAGTCTTACCTTGTATGCAAAAACGGCAGCATAATCGAATATTCCAGTTTCACTGAATATCGATACTAGAACCATCATAGAAAACAACAACGTCATGGTTTCGATATCTATCCAAGATATTATCACATCCAATGTTGGTCTTTGATCATACGATGCTAAGATTGCTACAGTCAGCGTACTAGCTAACAGGGAGGCAAGGGTTCTATGAATCAACTGGAATATATGAATGATAAAATTTTGTAGAATAAATTATTTCAAATTACTGACAATTGTAATCATACAATTCTTGCACTATGATTGTATTGAAGACACACTTCACTCAAAATGAATACGAATCTTCATTAACGGTAATCAATGATCTACAAATCTGGTAACCGTGGGGGTCATTCCCAGTCTTACTATCTAGTTCTATAGAAAATGTTTGTCTCAATGCTGACGAACAACTAAGACATGTGAAGAGGAGCACCAGATGAGCACCAACATTATCTTCTTCTTCTCCTAGCAGTGAGCTACAAGAAGGGGCAGCCTTGAATGACTATCATAGTCACCAGGTTTATCGACCTTCAATTTCCTGAATAATGAAATCTATTGAACAAAACCATACTGATTGGATTAATTTTGAGCCAGAGGATCCAATTCTACCTATGTAGATGATGCTCGTACAATACTGACCTCAAATATTATAAGAACGTACAACATAATCAAAACCAGAGCTCCATAAATGATACCGTCATTGACGTCAATCGGGTGTAGATTGTATCCCATAGAAACAGGAAAATTCGTATTCAGATTTGTCTTGAACTGGATTCTCAACATTTTGTAAGAGGCGTCGTCTACTTCGAATTCGTTAAGGTCGATTATTTTCAAATGATCTACTTCTGGTACTTGACCGATCATCTTTTCTGGTACTATAGGAACTTTCCACGCCTCAGACACGTTCTGAAACAAATTTTAAATGTTCAAACTAAGCACTATTGAATAAAACTGATGAAAACAACAGAAATAAGGTATCTTTCGACGCGTATTTCGCCTAATCAAGTTAGCATCGTCGTTTTGAATCAACTTTAAATTTTTTTGCGTCTTCATTTTGCTTGGCTAACTCTTTCTGTTTATTTCCAAGAAATTCAATAAATACCTAACCAATAAATACCTCTGGATCTACAGCTGGCTCAGTGTGTTTGAACGCAGGAAATATTTCAAGCACTGGTTGTACATTGGTGCTGGCTTTCAGATTGTCTTCAGATTTCGTAGCCACTTTTTTCTATTGCTGATTTAGCAGTGAAGATGATCTCTGTTTCGGAATGGTTGGCAAATTTGACAATCAACCTTTGATTTCTATTCACTCACTATCTTCCACCAATGAACTTTAAACGGTCGGAAAAATACCACGTCTAGCTGGTTTCTCCTCGCTGTGTGTTTCTCTTGTGCTCAGCAGTAAGGACTTTCCATGGCCTCTTAGTCTAACCGATATAGGATTTGCCGCACTCACATGGTATCCGGTAAAGCAATTCTTGGAATCGCAGTCCGCGTTTGGTGGCCTGGTTTTCGTGAGGCTGCTATGGATAGTGTTTCTGGATCTGAAGCAGGTTCAGATGTTGTACTTGGACCCAATTATTCTCATCCTTTACGACAATCCTCTGACGTAAGGAAGGGCTAGCACTGGTTGTAACGGCTTCTTTTTCTTGTGAGGATTCACTAGATTCACCAAAGTCTTGATGATTCCTCTTTTGGTAGGTTGATGATGGTTGGATTTGTGATTCAGATACTGTCCCGTATGAGTAGGTTTTTCAGTGTACAGATGTTTCTCACTCAGTGTTAGTCCTCTTCATCAATACGTCTAAGAATGGCAATTCGTTGTGGATTCCTTCTCCATTGTGAAAGTAATGGAAGGACTTACGTTGTTGATGTACTTCACGAAGGTGTCTAGTTCTGCTATGGTTCCATACTATGAAAGTTTCGTCAACCTATCTCAACCAGACTCGGGGCTTCTTGTGGGCTTTTTCAATGGCCAGAGTTTCGAACTACTCCATATATACGTTGGCTATGACTGGTGAAAGTGGCAATCCCATTGGCAGTCCTTCATCTCGCGTAATAAATTCGTCCTTCAGTTGTAAATGGCAGTTCCGTATACATCATCCTAGAACGTCCGTGATTACTTCTATAGGTAAGTTTGTTCTATCTTTCAGGTCCTCGTTTACGGATAGCTTTCTCTGTATGATTCAAAGTGCTTCTTCGACAGGAACGTTGGTATGCCTGAAGGCTTTCCACGCCGAAATTGATTGATTTTCTTGCTCCGTGATTTCGATTGCCTCTAGTAATTCGACGAAATGCCTTGAATTCTTCACAGAAGATATTTTTTCCTTGTAGAGGTTGTATATCTGTATTTGTAGAGTAGGGAGGGTGAGTGTAAGCCCACGCACTTAGGCCACATGTGACCCATCAGAGGTTGTATATTTCAAAGTGAAAATCTGGCCTAAAATTTTAGTTTCATAATTAACGTATGGTGGTAAGAGTTCTCCTGCTGCATTACCATACATCATCAGACAAATGGTGCTGTAATGTCATGTTGTAACATGTTGTACATGTTCGAACCAAACTATGCGTTAGAAGTCTTAGACCGCGAAGAGTGGAGAATGAAATTTATCGCGAGAACATGACTTGGCAGGAACACCTGGTATACAGACGAGTCGAAAACCGAACAGGAGACGGAAGCTGGAATATACTGTGCGGTGAGAAATCTTCATTCATTTCAGTTACTTACTCGGTCAGTATACATCAGTATTCCAGGCTAAAGTGTATGCAACAGCCAGGCTGTGATAAGGGCACTGACGAATCAGAAAGTGATACCGAGGCTGGTCTGGAAATACCGTGTAACTAGCGGAAAGGAATAGATTGACTGGATGTCAGGACACTAAGGTATCCTGGGCAATGAAAAAGCTGACAAATGTGGTAGACACGGATATTCAGTTCCATATGTAGGCCCTGAAGCAACTGTGGGGGTACTATGATCTTCAATATGAAACCGGATTGGTAAGTGAGTCCACAAGAAATATAAAGAATACTGGGCAATACACACAGGAACAGACACATGGGAAAACATTTATGAAGGAGCCGTTGGAGAAAATAATCTGAGAACTGCTTCGACAAAGCAGGGATCGGCTTAGAAAGAGTATAGAGCTACTCATTGGACACTGTTCTGTAAGAGGACATCCGAACAAAATGAGCAGAGGCAGCTGGTGATATTTGATGCGAATGTGGGTATTTCAATTACAAGAGGTTAAAAATGTATGTACAACCTAAATTGGTTCCAGTTAAATATGACATACGTCCAGCATGAGACATATACACACTAGTAAAGGAAACAAGATTGTTGGAATGAGTTTCATGAAAAACATGGGAAAAAATGCAATAATCATTTGAGGCTGCAGTATTTTTCGTAGACTTGGAAGCAATAGGTGAATTAGGCGACCCATTTTGTTGCAATTTGTTGCGTCATCAACCAAATGAATTTTATCATAATTATATATCAATTATATACGAAAGCATTTATTTGTGTGGGAAAGTGAAAATGGAAGTGAGCCCTATCAGATATAAGTAGAGACCATTTTTAAAGTTAAGAATCAGTGTACTAAATTTTGTGGAGACGCCAACTTGGTTGGTGAAAACGAGCGTCGAGGATTCAGTTCTACCTTTCATTTTCTGCTATATTTACCTGAATAGACAACACTTCGAACTCCCGAATCTGAGTGTACCTGGAAGGTTCTTCTCTGGTAACCATTAGCTGAACCCAAACAGTCATCCATTCTCTTGACATTTCCTCGTAATAAGAAGGAAGTAGTGCTCCTCTCAACATAACTTGGACTTTATTTTCTCTCGGCTGTTCGTATATAACGTGACCTTAAAGTTGAAAACACGATTGAAACATTCTTTAGTCACTTGAAATACGAATGAAAACTTCACAAACGTTGGAAATCATACAGATATTTTTTATGAACTCTCAGTGAGAGAAATTTGACACACTGTGTATTGTCAGGTTCGATTATCCTGATTATCCTTGTACATTATGTACAGCATACAATGCTCGGCCTGCAACAAATTCTATATCGGTCAAACCAAGAAAAAACTGATCCAAACCCAATAACATATAAATCAAACCTCGCCATACAAAACAAACATAACTTTTCCCCACCAGAAAAAACATCAAACTCATAAAACAAGTATGGACATCTGGGAACACCTAAACATCCATAAATTCAAAAATCATAATTCACTTATCTAGGAACAAATACAAATTAAAACACTGCAAGACCTAACATTCAATATAATACACAATATAATACACATTCCTAGAAACAATGGAACTAGGGAAACTCCGACACAAAGGATATTACCTGATGTAACCCAAATACATGCAAATTTAAAGAGACATCCGAAAGACAGGAGAGGACAAATACCTGCACTAAGACTTTCTAACCGTATAAAAGAACGAACAAGAAGATAAACGTTCAATTTGAGTAGAGCCATGAAGTTGATAGTACAGCCTGATATTGAAAGCGCTCGCATATAATAACTAGAAGTTATTAGAGCTTTAAATCCGTTTTGTAAACAAATGTTAATATTGAAATACTGAAAATAAAGGAAAATTAGTTGCATCAATCAAAAAAATGTTTAATATGTAGTCATTTCACTTACTTTTTACCGAATCTTTCGGTATGCTAATTTGGTACATGTTCAAAACTTTTTCGCTATTTTCCATCAAAGCATAACAACTCACCGCCCATATAACAATCAGTATGAAAATTTTGAAACCATTAGCGTAAACTTTCAATTGTACCTTACTTTCCGATTCTTCTCTGGAAAAAAATTCATTGTGTATACGTAATCGAGTCAATAAAGAGATACAAGCGATAGAAACAAGATTTGAAGTATACTCTAGGAATAGAAAATCAAAGTATGTATGGAACTCGTAACTGGTCAATTCCTTCCAAACCTTCGCTATTCATTAATGATTTGTGGATTCAAAATTCAGGTTTCAACCATGGTTCAACTTCTCGCCTTTACATTCAACCTCATTTAAAAATCATAATACCGGTTGGGAGAATAGATGAGAAGTCAAATATCAGTATAGTCTGTCCATTCTCAATTGGAACAGCAAAAAAAATAAGATTACAGTCATAAACATTTCTTGTCTGTGGTCCCTAGTCGTCCAGATAGTTAGTAAACGTGCTATAAAACGTAGTTGAGGAATAAAGGTTCAGCTAGCTGGACTGGCTGAATACTAATTTTTTGTCCGTTTCACAATATTTCTTTATCAGTGCCGTGTGTTCGTGGGGTTAGGTGAGGTAGTTAGTGGTTTTGCAAACCGATTTCTGAAAACGTTTTCTAGAGATCAATTACCCTAATACCAAACTGATATTTTTGCACTCGACGCGCGTTTCGCTAACAAGGTAACTTCAACTTACCTCAAGTTACTACACGTAGACAGATCCCTTTCTATAAACCTTTTACTAGATCCAACCTTAGAAAAGTGCCTCCTATAAATTTGATGTGTGAAAATTGTAATACCCACTGCAATCAATGCGATATTAATTTCGATCTACTGAAGACCATATTATCCAAATTTGAACAAACTATCATGTAGCTTACTGTCTTCATTTCATGTTATTTACAAATAATAATTAATTAATGTGATATTTTTTCTCAATTCGATCGTATATGTGAATTCATTTGTCAAATTTTCAATATGTCAATCTTTTGTTATATATTTAGCTCAAGTAGCCTTTATTTAGACTGCATTATTATATTATATATTGTCCTGTGAATGGATTCATCTGTTGGGTAATGAATTTTGTTTTCATTTTCTTTTCTTTTCCATATTCACATCTGTTCACAAAAACATCTAAGAATGCCAGATTCCTGTGGGTTTCTGGTTCCATTGTGAATAGGAATTTTGGGTAGAGAGTGTTTGGATATCATAGAAATTTGTTGAGTGGTTCCACGGCGGATTACTCTAGGGACCGATGTTAAGCAATGATCTGAGATGGCGGTTATATCTGCTGGGAATATTTTGCTAATAAGCCGTATCATGTCGTTGATCGGAATCATCGAGAAGTCAAGACTCAGTAGTATGTCTCCAGGATCTAACTTCACGACCTCCAGGATTTTGGAGAGGACACAAAAACAGTTATACAAAAATCCGAAGCCTTTCCGCCACTTCTGTGTGACTAACTAAAAATCCATGAGTAGATGGTGTTACTAAGACCCATCGTAAATACGATAAGTTCACCATCCTATGAGCTGACCAAAAACTTGACAAGCCTACTGTAGGCATTCATAGGAAAGACAGAGTCATTCATTAAGGACTCGGGACACTTCATCGAAACTAAGTTAGAAATAGAAAGGTAGGTCTTCCAGGTAGGTGGTTTTTTACGAACAAATGTTATATACTGTGTCAGTATTCTGGCGCCTGAACATTTGTTCATTCACCACAATACACGTGTCGCGGTTTAAAAAAAAGCGATTTATTTCCAACAGGAGTACCGACTTATAGGAAATGCTATTATTAAAGAGTATGTATGAAATAAATATTGAAAATAATGGAATATGGAACTGTATAGAAGTAAATGCTGAAACAAAGTATATATAAAATATTCGTATACGTATAATTTCAAAAGAGGAATGAAAATTTGAGTATATAACAAAAAGTTACAAATCATGCAGTGTAGCAGTACTGACACAAATGTTACTCATAGTATTATTAAAAGTGATTGTGGATACATGATACCATGAAGTTCAGAGAGTCGAAATGAATAACGCAGTGTTCACAAATTTTATTGAATCTACTGAACATAAAATTCAATGGTGATCGTAGCACAACATTTGTGCGTGATGCTTCGCAACAGAATTTCAGGCTTTGTCGGCCTTCACTTCTTGGTACTAAGAAACTGATCACATTGACTATTTTAATAAATACGTTGCATTAAGCCCTTCTGTTACCAATCATCCACATTTTTTTCTGAAATACTCATATTATAAATGCAGTGCCAATCCAGTTGTTATAAACATGTTTGGGAAAATGTCCCCTACTATTGCTGAGTTTCTGAACCTCCCGGAACCAAAGGAATATGCAGGTCACTGTTTCTGAAGGTCTTCTGCTTCTTTGCTAGCAGAATCAAAAGCAAATATAACGGACATTAAGAAGCACGGAGGATGGAAGTCTACAACAGTAGCTGAGGGTTAATGAATCTATTTCTTATAAAAACACTATTGCTGGAAGAATAATCCCAACAACTAGCTCCAGCGTTACAGCATCATCCTCTTCACTTCAAGAATTAAATGTTAATGCCCATGAAATTGTCAACTCAGATAGTTCACATATATTACAAGGCTCTTCAACATCGCAAGGTACCTATTAATATCAGCAGTTGTTCTAATTGTATTTTTCTTATTATTGTTCATAAATAATAATAATAATGTGATTAATGTAAATAATTCATTTGTTACAGATTTTAATTGTATCTATATCTATTGTTCATAATAAAACTTCCTTGAAAATTGAATAATTATGTTTTGTTAACTGCTATTTGGTCGAAAAAAATCGTTTTAAAAATACCTTTAACACGCTACTTTGTAAACATCATCTTTCAATACTCTTGACAACCATTAAAAATGTCACTTTTAATGACAGTTGTCTAAAAAAAATTTTGTCATTGCTAACATATTTATGAAATCTGTAAGAGAATTCTTATATAAACTAGAGCCCTACAATAGTGATGATTATTTTCTGGTCTGTAGAAATGAATGAATCAAATTGTATTCAAAATCACGCTCGGCATATATACCGTGTGACACAGACTTATGGTACACCCCCCTTTTTTTCTTTATTCGTTCACCTATGTTTACGGAACTATTGATATTGATTATGCTTACAAAGAGGCACTTTTTGACGTAATTTGAGATTTTTTTCAAGTTCCGGTTTTTCCGGAAATCTTATCAACGCCTAATTTTTAAATAGAACACTCTGTATATTATTACATTCTTGAAATCTACACATTTTTCCTAATCCAATGATACCCCATACTTGATATTTTGAGTGTTAAGACGCTCGATCTAAAGAGCCACAATATGACGGACATTTCAAAATATTATTTGAAATTCGAAGCTATTCATTTTGAAAGTTTCATTTTTAGATTAGTATGTACACACATTGATATTTTTAAAATTTTTTTGACGTATTTCTCAGACATAAATATTCTGCCACTCCTATGAATGATTATAAAATACTCTGTTGAAATAAAAGGTGGGGGATATTTTCAATTTGCTGAATTATCAAGTTATGCCAAGTATTAACAACGCCCTCTCATGGGAATCGGGTTATTATTTCAGCAAGATGGGGCTCCTCCTCATTGAGTAGTACCAGTTCGACAGTTCTTTGGTAATAACTTTCCGGATCGATCGATTTGAAGAAAAGGTTCTACAGAATGCCCACTCAGATTCCCTCATTTGACCCCAGTGGATTTTTTTTCTGTGATATCGATATTAAACATTTGATGAAGTAATTCCAAAAAAGTTAGAGGCTTGAATAAAGAATTGAAAGACCTAACTCGACTATCATTTCTATTTGAAATTTTCGATATGAGGCTTATTGCGGGAAGAAGTTGATTTTGTCGTAGAAATGTGTCTCCCCTAATTATTTTTGTTGTCTCAATGTCAAATAACCAAATGAACCATATTTGCCTGGCAAATATTTTTATCGCAATTTTTTCTCAATTATGCTTCCGTCAATCAATACACTTCTCGAAGTTGAAAATTCATATAAAAAACCTGTTTCTCAAATTGAAGCCTGGATTTCTTTTATTCCTTGGAGCTATTTCTTGCGCTATTTTTTCATATTACGTACTGGTACTGAAGAGGGAAAGAGGCAAGTGTCTTATTCCGAAACAACGGATATCCTCCATTGAGTTTGACAGTGTTCAATGTTAGTGAAATTTCACCTCTTTCATATACTAGGATATTGTGTAGGAATCCTGTTAATTATATCTGATTCAATTCTATTACGAATGTTTCAAATACAAACTGAATAAAAAAAAGGGCTTTTGTATAATTGAATGTTCATTTTTTTCTTTCATGTGATCCAATGTTTATATGAAAGTAATTGTTTCTACAAATGTTTGTGAAGAGTTTATTTTGAAAATAATTGCTTTCTTCCTTTCTTTGGAAGATTCCCACATTTTTTTTATAAAGATAGAGAAGTAGAAACGCAAAATATTTTTTTCAATCTACACTCTAAAAAAAAAGATTGTTGTCCTATGTCATTGGCACGTATATCCAATAGAAGTGTTAACTGAATAGAAAAAAGGGCTTTTGTATAATTGAATGTTCATTTTTTCTTTCATGTGATCCAATGTATATATGAAAGTAATTGTTTGTACAAATGTTTGTGAAGAGTTTATTTTGAAAATAATTGCTTTCTTCCTTTCTTTGGAAGATTCCCACATTTTTTTTTATAAAGATGGAGAAGTAGAAACGCAAAACCTTTTTTTCAATCTACAAAAAAGATTGTTGTCCTATGTCATTGGCACGTATATTCAAAAGAAGTGTTTTATTCAATGAAGTCAAGATATCATCCTTTGTAGAATTTATCGAGGTTTACATCTGGAGCTACCAAAATTTTCAAGTTCTGTTTTAGTATGTTCTTCTCACGAATCATCTCTAGCACAGCATTTATTAGTTGGCAAATTTGGAGAGAAAATTGACAATTCAAAAAGTATCAGATCTGGAAAGTGTCAATTGACATATCTTTCTGCTTCGGCACCATTACACCGTCGTAAGAATGTTTTTATAGTCTGCATGTACCTATACCTATATTCGAACCTAGTCAGTGAAATTACAAACAGTTCTTGAATATTTTTTTCAATTAATGATTTTTCTATTCTTTGTCCCAACTAACCAAAACCGATACGAATCCCTTCATACATAATTTAAACTTGTTTTCTTTGGAAACATTTTGCATAACTAAGCTCCGCAAAATCGAACTAGTTGTCCCAAAATTATATTGCACTCACCCAGGGCCATCGCCATGGGGGAATGGGGGGGCTTCCCCCTTGCTTTGTCGACTTGGGAAAAAGTTGGGAAAAGTTGGGAAATTTTGGGCCGTGAAGAAAAAAATAATAGTAAAAAAATGAATGAAAATTAAAAAAATAAAAATGAGAGAAAAGAAAGGGAGAGGTAATACGAAAAGGGAAAGAACCGGGAGAAGGTTGGGATTATCCAACATGCATAACTCGGAGACCCCATACTTTGAAATTCTGAGTTGTTTGAAAACTTCAAAAAAGTTTAATTTCTCCCAAGTAAGAGAACAGTCCTGAACAGTCCACAAATTTTGAAGTGACAATTTTACAAAATTCCCAACTTTTCGCTGTTTTTCCGACTTGGAAAAGTTGTGAAATTTCGGGCCGTGAAGATAGAAAAAATAATAGTAGAAAACAATAAGCACAATAATATTCAAGTGTTGTTTCCTTTCATTTGTATTGAATATTCCTATACATGATGGATATGGTGAAAGATTAAGGACCTTGGTCCAAAGTAGAATAATTCCCATTATTATTTTTATAATCACCAAAATTTATTTTTGTTTGTGCATACCCTAACGGGCATAAGCAACTTCCTGGTTACTACCCGTTTTGAAAAACCTCCAACAATAATTCGATAGATATAACTGACATCTCCGACGTAAGTGAATTCAAATCATTTAAAAACAGTACCTGATTCCAATATTCACAACTTCTCAAAATTGTAATTCAATGAACATAATTATTGTTTGTGAAGTATTATCAATACAATCTTGAATATTGAATATAATTATTATCAATATTAGGTTATGTTTCAATACGAATATGAATATGAATTTAATCACCAAACTCACCTCAAATTTAAATCTTTATCCATTTTGACACCAGTATGTTTATTTTTAATGTTAATTGTTCTTTTTCACATCACCTGTAATTCATCTTCATGCTGTGCAGTATCAAGCTATGATAAAGACTGGGCACTGACTATGAAAGAAATTTTTTTCTAATTCTCAGTTTTTGTTGCAAAAAAATTTACTCCGCCCAGGTTTACTCAAGAATTCCGTAGGAACGCTATTAAGGATAGATAGCAGGGTAAGGCAACCGTAAAATATATACGCTAACGTAGGTACTGTCTTTGATAAACCATATATTTTTAGTCGTTGATTCATACAAAGGTGTCAATCCTATAATGAAATTTGAATTTGGGACGAAGTTATAATTTCAAGTTTAAAAATTGTTATACTTTCGTCAATCTACAATTGCATAGCTTCCTGATCAAAAACACCACAATTCCACCAGTACCTAGAACTTAGTTTCCTCTGACGAAGTATTGACAATACAATTAAGGAAATCCATTTGTTGTTCAAGTGCCTCAAACCATTGACTATCTCTTCGAAAAATCATGAATGTTGCAAAGTCAAATTTTACTAGGGGCCGACAATTAGAAATCGCTTTTTGTCTCTTTATGCAGCTTTCACTGCAAACAGCCAACTAGATAAAATCAAATCCATCAGAACTTCCAATGAATTTTGTATGCCATGAATGTCATAAACGTTTTGATGAATGTATGTAAAATAAATTTTGAACGTTGAAACTGCCAGAATGTCGACATTGCATGAAATACCAGAAATTCTTCATAAACAGAACAAAATATCAGGAGTTGGCAAGGTGCCGATTAGTTTCTTCTGATGATGAATATGAGTATTCTGAAGAGAGTAGCAAGTAGCAAGTTTAGATAGTAGAAGTTGAAGAAATAGCGGCAAAACAAATGTCCACATGAATAATTCATATCATAAAAATACATAATAAACTCAAAGAAATACTTCCATCCAACAACGAAGCCGTTGCTATAGCAAGTGAAATTGAGAAGTTGCATTCAATGAAAATTTTAAAAAAGGAGTGTAATTTTTCAAATATAGCGCTTCCTATATTCAAATTCAAATAAAACAAAGTGTATGTGAGATATCATCAAAAATTTGTAATCGTTTGAAAGACCTATTGATGCCATCATTTGTAAAATGTAACATCGTTCACATGTCCGCCAAGGCGGAGCATATCCGAAAAGTCCAATTTTCCGTGATTCCGGCGCATAAATCAGGCTGAATTTGACCGATGGCATGGGGTATGTTGGCTGTGAGTACCGCAGTGATTTGTCGCTTACTCGCATACATCTGCGACTCAAGAAAACCCCACAAGAAATAGTCTAACGGGGTTAAATCGCACAATCTCGGAAACCAGTTCACAACACCTCTTTGTGAGAGGACCATGCCCTCAAATTGCGCGTGCAGAATATCCGATGGCGTATGAGCTGCGTGTCAAATAGAGTCGTCCTGTTGAAACTACATGACGTTGGTTTTCAGATCATCCCATTCAGGCTTAAAGAAATGGGTAATCATAGACCTTAGTGCTCGCCGTTGACAGTGATGACCTGGCCAACGTCGTTCTCAAAGAAATATGGACCGATGACGCCACCAGCCCAAAATACACACCACAGAGTGACTTTATCGGGATGCATGAATGTTCTTGGATCTTATGTGGGCTGGTATCGTCCCAAATTTGACAATTTTGTTTGTTCGCGTACCCATTCATCCAGAAATGGTTCTCATCGCTGAAGATGCCAACTGCTCCAGAGCCCTTTCAGCGAAGACACTTAGTACTCTTGGTAGGACGATTACGGCGACCTTAAAATAATAATAATAATTTTATATTTTGTTGCACGAGTTGTTGAATGATATATCCGTACATGGTGATTTGGAAAAACAGACTAAATAAATAACAACTAATTTGAAGTACCGCAGTGATTTGTCGCTTACTCGCATACATCTGCGACTCAAGAAAACCCCACAAGAAATAGTCTAACGGGGTTAAATCGCACAATCTCGGAGACCAGTTCACAACACCTCTTTCTGAGAGGACCATGCCCTCAAATCGCGCGTGCAGAATATCCGATGTCGTATGAGCTGCGTGGCAAATAGAGCCGTTCTGTTGAAACTACATGACGTTGGTTTCCAGATCATCCCATTCAGGCTTAAAGAAATGGGTAATCATCGACCTTAGTGCTCGCCGTTGACAGTGATGACCTGGCCAACGTCGTTCTCAAAGAAATATGGACCGATGACGCCACCAGCTCAAAATACACACCACAGAGTGACTTTATCGGGATGCATGAATGTTCTTATGGATCTTATGTGGACTGGTATCATCCCAAATTTGACAATTTTGTTTGTTCGCGTACCCCTTCATCCAGAAATGGTTCTCATCGCTGAAGATGCCAACTGTTCCAGAGCCCTTTCAGCGAAGACATTTAGTACTCTTGGTAGGACGATTACGGCGACCTTAAAATAATGATAATAATTTTATATTTTGTTGCACGAGTTGTTGAATGATATATCCGTACATGGTGATTTGGAAAAACAGACTAAATAAATAACAACTAATTTGACAGATTTAGCTTCAACAAGATGGCCGTTATCAATTGTCACCGTTCGAAGGCCCTGTTGAAAGACCATATATATCATTATGAAATATTTGTGAAATGATTTCTTTATGTTCTTTGGAGTCAGTTCCTGGCAACTTCCTTTTTCACAACAAGTCACAGGGAATATATTTTCCTTCCAAATGAAAGATTTTGGTTTTAATTTCTCGCTAACAGCCTCTTCGTAAGTTATGTGGTCTCCATACAGATTGAAATCTACATTAACGCACATATCGCTATAACTAAATATGTCTGGCTTCTTCTTATTTACTGGTCTTATTTACTTATCTTATCTATCTGTTGCAAACAACTTCATTTTCATGTTTCACGAAACCAGCTTCATGAAACAAGTTTCTGCAGTGTGAAACGCGCCTAAGTGTAAGCACAGAATCCCACAGAATGTTAATTATTCTGTGGCTTAAGTTGGTTACTTGTTGTTGGTACAATTCATTATTTCATTGTTGCAAGCTTGTTGGCTGTTGGCTTGTTCACAAACCACCTAATAAGTAGTTTGTGGGCTTGTTCAGTGAGTAATAATTATTTCTTAGAGGTTTCGTACTGGTAAAATAATACAAATAGGAATGGATAAATATCCTAGGCTGGTAAAATGTGATCATAGTGTTAATATCGAAATTAATTCAAGTCCGGTAAGTTGATATAAATTGAGGGCTTTTTAAAGAGACGTGTTGAACCTATTGTTTGTTATCAAAAATATATCGATTGACCTTGTAAAAATTGTTGCAAACTTTTTACAGTTCACTTTAGGTAGATCATGGAATTGTAATTATGTGATACTGGCTGAAAGCATTTCTAGAATCCATTGCAGCCTTGAAAGAGTTGGCATCCATTGGATTTTGAAAGACACTGTATGTATCCCAATCTCATTGAATGATCAGAATTATAATGGTAATCTTTTCCAGAGCACAAATGGAACGTATATAAATGGTATGGTAATACAATCCAGGGGAAGTCGTCGATTAATGAATGGTGACATTATCAACTTTGACAGACAAAATGAACAGTATATATTTCATTTCGTTCCGAGATATAATGTTTGGTATGAACAACAAAGTAGAGTAGCTTATCCTCTTCCAAGTGAAATAGATATTTATCCAAATTCTTATTCAACTGTTACTCCATATACAAGTGTCCCTACATATAGAACAAAATCTACATTCAGAACAAATCGTACATATAGAATACATCGTTCATATAGAACAGAGCTTGCATATACAGCTGTCCCCACATATCGAACTGATAATGTCCCTGGATATACAACGTATCCTGAATATACAAATAACGCAGTACATACAATGAATCCTGATTACACAACTCTTTGTTCGTATTCAACTGTTCGTGATTATGCATCTGAACCCGAGTATTCCACTGGTAATGAAAATATAATTGTTCATGAACGTTCAGTTGTTCCTACTTACAGAACTGTTCGTGAATATACAACGGTTCCTGCTTCTCCAACTGATACTGCATCTATAGAAGACAGTCCTTCTTCAGGTATAGTATTTGTTACTGAAATAATAGTAATGTTTTTTTGAACTGAACATTTTGAATAACAAACTGGTTGGGCAAAGCATCAGAAAAATCTCTTTTTGTCAGTGTCTCAAACTTATTAAGTTCATCGAGGGTTCCTCAAACATTATTTCTTATATTTTAGTTTACACTTGCACAATTATAGCACTATGTGAAAGAAAGGTTTTAGCTTTCTACTTCTCCATCTTCATAGGTACAAACAATGTGGGAATCTTCCAAAGAAAGTAATTCATTCGAAGATGGACAATATAACTGGAGTTTTTTCGCAACACCAAACCGTTATTTTAACACCTCGACACGTGTTTCAATCACCAAGTAATCTTATTCAAGAGGAAGATCAAACTTGATCACTTGTTGATTGAAACACGTGTCGAGATGTTAAAATAACGATTTGGTGTTGGAAAAAAACTCCAGTAATATTCATTACTACACCAAAGGTTCCAAACAGTGCATCACAAATATGAAGAAGAAGAAAGCCAAAACTGTTCTTTCCCAAAAATTGATTTCTCCTGAAAGTACACCCATTTCAATTTAATCAAAGCTATACAATATAAGAAATATTTTTATAGAGCCCTGAAGACTTGATGAAATATTAAATTTTGGCAAAAAAGATATATGTTTTCTACAATTTTTCTGATCCTTGACTGAACCTTTTCATCAATTAAAATGTTATTTGGATCACTAATCTGACACGAAATATAACATGATGATTTTTCTTAGAAGGTCAACTCTGTAGCTTTTGAAAAGTTTATAATCACACGTATTTTTGTTGAAAAGTCTAAATTTAGTACTTCCACCCAAAAATCATAAAATGACACCATCTCATGATTACCTGCTCTGAAATATTTTTTTCATCCAAAACTTAATTTTCTCAATATTATAAATTTTTCAGCAAACTATAATATTTCATCAGTTCGGACTTCCATTGTCTAATATAATATAAATTGATTTGAAATTCCTGAAAAAATATTAAAGAGATTAACCGAAAATAACAATTTTATTTGAACAAAAAAACTGAAATTACAAAGAAATAACAAAACCAAACAACAACCAAAAAAATAAAAATTGAAATATTAATAGAAGCTGAAAATTAATTTCGGTTAATCTTTTTAATATTTTTTCAGGAATTTCAAATCAATTTATATTATATTAGACAATGGAAGTCCGAACTGATGAAATACACCACGAAACATTGTCAACCACCTTCAAACAAACTTTATAATATTTAATTGTTCTTGAAACGAACACTTTCATGAAAGAGTTTTCAATTGGTTCTTTTGACATTGTCACAAAACTCAACCTGAAATGAAGACTATGTTGTCAAACTTACCTATATGGCTCTCAAAAACATATGTAATGCAACCATCGTTCTTGTCTTCCTCCAGATAAAAATGTTATCTACATATGCCTTTGAGACTTAAAATCTTCATATAGTGATTTTTTTTAATTGAATCACTCATGTTGTTTGAGTAAATATTGTTTGATATTTTTTTTGAAACATTGGGGAACTATTTCTTTTTCTAATTTATATATTAATAATCAAAGTTTCCAGATAGCCTCACACTCAGAAATCCGATGTCGTGTATGTGATGGCAGATCAAAATATAAAAAATTTAAGTGAACAATTTAAGAAAATTATTATAAAGTACAGAACACAGCTTGAGATTATATACATTCGGGACATCCCGCTTCTTACTCACTGCAAGAATGAAAGTGAACACCAAGAACATATACAGGGTGGTCGAAAACTTGACATGGAGTTTTTGGGTACTAATCTTGCAAATCCGAAAAAACTCTCAGACATGTCGATTTTTATTGGGAGGGGGACAGTTTTTTCCCCATTTACAGCGTCGTCACTTCAACCCCGGAGCAGTATATTCCGGAAGAACAAAATGTAAAAATCGCACATATGTTGAAAGATTCGCTACGCAAAGATATTCAAATGCTCATCAGTGGAAGTGCAATTCCATAAACAAAAAGTATTATTATTATTATGTTCATTTTGTAGTCCTACATGCCATTTTTTTATTTTTGTAAACTTGAAAATATTTTACATGTTCTTGATGTTAACCTTTCATCGAAGGAGAGTTAAACATAAACCTGGAACAGCAGAACGAAAATTCCTCAAATTTCCTGAAGCTTTTCTATATGAGTCAAATGAATAATATCTCAAATTGGATGGGAAGATTTCTGGATTTATTATATTGCAAATATTCAGTTTGCCTTCATAAATTACTAGTTGAAGATTAATCTCCAAATGTGCAGCTGTGAAATGAGATAAAAAGATTAAGGAAAACTGATCATGAACTTTATGAGAAAAAAAATTGTCAAATATGGGTTAACGAAGTCTTACCTTTCAACGTACGATTCCTAGCATCTCAATCAATATCTGATCAGTGATCCATCTAACTGTAATGGAATTCCGGAGGAAATTATTTTTGGAAGTTATAAATTCAGTACTGAAGGTGATATTGCCTATGCCTTTGAAAATCACTTAACGTCTTTATATGAAGGTTCTACTAATAATATGAAATCTCAAATTAGAAAATGGGGGCTCTTCCATTTTTTCCCATCACAGAAGATGATTTGAGGTTTGCAATAAATACACTTCAACTATGCTTTATATCGATTCACAGGTTCAAAATTTATATTAAAAGTATAAAACGTACCTCCATATAATTTTTATGAACTGTTTTGTGTTGGAATCTGCCTTTGGATATTTTTCTCGCAAGAATGTATCTAGTTGGAGGTAGATTCGTTCTGCTAAGTCACATGGATGAAGGGGGTGCAAATAGTTATGATGCTCGCTAGGTGGATCGTGGAGTTATTTACACAGACTACTCAAAATATAAGGGCTGATGACCATACTCGTCGATGCCGAAGACACCAAAATAAGAAGAATTAATTTGTTCAATGATTTTCAGATGTTTGGGATCTAAAAAATAATAATGTTGACTTCCTCAATGGATAAATGGTGTTATTGTGTTTATTGGACAAGGTGTTTGCTGTTTCTAGTTGCTTTCAATTTTGTGCAACCTACAATTGAATAGTTCTTAATTTGAATTTGTAGAACATGGACTACAGTGTGGTAAAAGACCAAAATTCTAAGCTATTAGCTGACCCTATAAATACCAGTATTGTTGACTTAACAAGCAAAGCTGTCCTAATTCTTTGAACAGTAAGTCTATATTTATCATTGCCTCTTTATTTCTTATTCTCCCTTCATGGGTGCATGCTCTTAGATTGTTTTTCCACATAAGAACTAAGATTAAAGTTAGTCATCTGAGAACAAATATGGTTGTTAATTAAAAAGGTGAAATTATTGTTTCACTGGAGTAAATGCTTATAATTTGTTTCAGTTATCGCATACCTTCAAACCCACAGAATCCATGACAATATCATGAAATCATCTATTCTATGATATGTATTCTATTCAGTATCATTATTGAATCCTCATTTTGTGGTTGTTTTATTCCAGTTAGACACCAAATTTCAAAATATAATTTTCGTTACATTATTCGGTAAGACCATGAAGTGGTTAATATCTAGATTTTTTTAATCAAATAAAAGGAAAACAATAATTTTTTCATGAGAATTGGTAGTCAGAAACATTCAAATATTACTTCAATTTGTTTATTGAAATTTTTGTTTACAAAAAGTAAAATTCACCTCTTCATAAATATTTTGCGACCTAGAGTGTTAAGAACAGCTTCCCAAGAAATCCAGATAGCAAAGGGATGGAGAGTAAACTCCAATTCACTAGTGATAACATAAAATATTGCCATTTATGTATAAGAAAATATCTTAACTTATCTCTTTGATTTCCAGTATTTTTGTGTTGATGCTAGTGTCACCTTGCGGCAATGATTTCGAATATAATTTCTTTCTTGTGATTAGTAGAACATTAAATATAATACCCACTTTCAGCGAGGATCAAAAAATTTGGAGCTTTTGATTTTGCAAAAGAATGCTGCAAAATCTATCTTTGATTACTCGTTCTATTTTTAATTTACTGTTTTAGTTCAATTTCCGGTTATAGTGCCTACAGAAGTAGCAAGTCCATCAGATACTCCTCTAGATTGTACAATGAAAAGGGAAATGCCCAAAGCAACAAGTAGTTCAGAAACTGAGAATGGGGAAGTAAGTAACTAGAATATATTCAATTCACTTTTTGAACATTTTTTTATGTTTATTTACAGGAACTCCGAAACGAAATGCAGTGTTCCATATGTTCTGAAATGTTCATCAAGGCGACTACATTGAACTGTTCGCACACGTTTTGCAAATTTTGCATTGAAACTTGGAGGAGAAATAAATCTGCTTGTCCAATTTGCAGGGCAGAAATAACATCGATGAATTCAACGTTGGTTCTGGATAATGTCATAGAAATGGTAAAAATATTTTGTGTCTATTTATGAATCCACAAAAATATCAATTAGTATGAATATAAGTAAGCTTACTTATATTCATACATATTACATCTAAAACAGACTGCATTTTGTTCAAAATTGTTCACATGAATATTTCTAGTAGTGAAAGACTAGATATTTCAACGAGTACAAAACTGTTAGGAATTTATATAGATGATAAACTGAATTATGAGATACATATTGACTATCTTGCAAAATAACTAGCAAATAAGTGTTATGCAATTCGAGTGTTGAGACGTCACTTGAAAATCGATGCACTGAAAACGGTATATTATGGGCCTGTTTATCCTCTGCTGAAATATGGAATATTAGTATAGGGAGGGAGTACACAACTGGACCGTATTTTCATAATGCAGAAACGTATATTGAAAACAATGTTCAATATGAATTACACAGACACTTGTCGTGGTACCTTCAAGGGTAACAAAATGCTTACTGTATATGCTATATCGCACACCTAGATCTAAACAGGTATTAACTCAAAAAAGCTATTTTTATTACTGCTCAATAGAAACAGATTGATTTCACATAAATAGATTCTTGATAACTCTACTAAATAATATGAGACCAGATTTTCCCGTATTCAATTTGAGCTCCTTTTTCGAACACCATCAGTAAACTGAAAGACTAATTTTGAAATCAGCGCTCCCTGAAGATCCTTGACGTAAAGTAGAAACAGCATTGATTCCAGGATAGAGCCATGCGGTACTACTTGTTATATTTCACTCATTTGAGGCTAAACCCGTTTATTTTGTTGTGAATTGCTGGAGATTGATAAATTAGTTGATGAGATCACTATTCCATATTATCTCCTAATGATGATGTTAACGAAATGGATGTTGGGAGACAGTGCTTTAGTTGTTGAAAAAAGGTTAAATTCTCTCGGTCTGTAGTTTCCTACAGTTGCAATATTGTTTGGCAAGTTTTATATGTAATCCATTTTTTTCTTCTAGAAGAACTAAACAACAATTCAAGGGTAATAGAGTACCCAGACGTCCCATGGGTATTAGAAGTATCCTCAGAAGAATCAGAAAGCAGTGATGAATCAGATTCAGAATGGTATGTTCATTTTTCATTCATAGATCACTTGAGCAATATATTGTGCTTCCCAAAAGTAATTACTGAGTTCTATGAAATTATCGGCAGAAAAATTCTTGGACAGGTCTGTTTCCACTTTTGAATTTTCAACCATTAATATTATTTTCCACCCCTCTTCCCCAAGGGGAGGCAATCCTGACTTGTTCATATTTTGTTCGATAAAACTAGCTCAAACTGACCTCCAGTATTGCAGTCAACGGCAAATTGTAGCGAAAGTAAATTTTGCGAGCTTTGACATAATATACGAGATTAGCAGGGTCGGACGCCCAGTTGCCTTGGATGTTATTTCAATGTTGCAACAAAAAAAACACATTCGACTCTCCTGGAGGTTGCTTCACTTCTCGATATGTTGAAAACACAGTTTCCAGACTTCTCCTTTGTTAAATTAGAGACATCGTCTTATCTGATAAGGTAATAACGTTTTTCTTCCGTTAATATTATTGTTTAATTGTCATTTATCTTTATATACTAGGTGATAATGAAATCCTGGTACATGGTGTCATTCAATTGTTTGTAGGGCAAGAAATTTGGAACGGAGGTATAATTCATTGGAACTCATGTAATAGACTTCATTCAGCAATAAATGTTTCAGTGTTTTCCTAAATTTAGTCAGTTCCTTTCAATATTCCGTCGATTAAAAAATTGTTGATCTCTCTATTAATGCCTAATTTTTTTTTCAAGGTTGCAGGAAGACACCCATATGGTTTACACTATACATAGCTACTGTAATTACTGTGAAGTGAGAGGACACTTGTCCAGTAGATGTCCTTTTAGGCCTCAACTACAACAACAACAACTATGATGATAACGACAAATACAACAACAACTAACTTGTTTTCATATTTAGTTTTGATAAAATATGAATCTATTTCCAGTATTATAATGCATCAGATTAATCACTGGTGTGGAATTTTATATCTGAAATCTGAATCTGAAGTAGTTGAACATAACTAAGTTCAAGAATATCTATTTCGAAGAAGTAATCTTTTACGATATTCCAGTCTGATAATAAAAACTTGAGTTACTATAATTTGTGATATATTCGACTGCTATTTCATATTATACTATTAGTTAGTTTTATATATTTTTTAAATAAATGTTCCCCTGGATTTTTTTCATTCATTTTTTTTCAGCATTCAACGTACACATGCACAAAATTACATCTATGAAATAAAACAGATTTCAAAAATGCAATGTAAAATCAATATTCAGGTCAACAAAAACCAAAACAGTCTTAGAGTTAGCTAAGGTCTCTAGAGTAACTTTAACAATACCGAAGTTATACCGGATACCTTTTAACAGGTTGCCAGAGACCAAAAATATACATTCCTGATCCAATATACCAAATAACACTGTATGATAAGACCTGGTGTTGAATCAAAAATGCCCTCTGGTTTTCAATCTTATGCCTAGCAGTGAAAGACTGGCTATGCAACTGACCACCTTGGGAAACCTTTGTCTTTGATATTCGAGGATTGAGTTCTATGTCTATTCCATAGATGGCGTCTTCGTAAGGGGAGATGTCATTGCACTTACTTAAGGAGTGCAATATCTCAACTAACTCTGAGCTAAGAACAAATTCGAGTTGAGAAGTAATGATGACCTTTCCTTACGAAAATAACATTTTTGGGATATTTTCTACTCGCAGTGAAAAGTATAGTGAGAGATGGGAAGCGATTTTTCATTCGGCAATCGTCATACCGCGGTTGAACTTGAAGATTTTCTGAGACAACGGTGCATCCCAACAGTCACCAGTGTATCTGGTGATTGCCGAGATCTGATCTTAGGCTGTCATATTTACATCTTTCAAAAGTTCCTGAATGGACAACTGTGCTCTCAATAGAACAAATGGTTCAAGTAAAAAAAATAATTTTTGGTGTGTATTTCATGGGATACGACTATGTTAATTCTACCTTGATACTAGGTTGTAAGATAGAAATGTGCTAATGCGAGAAATGTGAACTAACCCCCTTTTATCATTATAAGTTGTAGTGAAAATTGTAATAGAAAAGATGTATTACAAACCATGAAGAGTGTGCAATCTTTCTTGAAATGCAAAAATGTCCACACTAGCAGGACGAGGGCGACGCTCTTTTGTTTTTACAAGTAAATCTGAAATAATTTTCTATTTTCCACTTTTTTCTTGCGAAATACTTCATCTCAAGAACTTGCACTTTTGGAATAGCCTCCCGCCGTGTATTTTTGACATTTTTTTTAATTGCTTGATATCTCGTTTAATTTTTTATATAGCTTATAATATAATCAAGAAGAAAGTAATACAAATAATGAAATTATATAACAACAAAAATTATTTGGCGCACATTGAAATAATTTTTTTTAAATTTGCGTTAAATTGAAATTATACGTTATTCATTTATTTGTTTTTTACTAAGTCATAATATAATTTTGAAAAAATTGAATGACAATAAGACATTTCAGTTCCATACAGTTGACAATATTAATAGTATGTTTAATAGTAATATTGTTACGTTTTTCCCCGTGGGTTGACCAATAATTGACTACACTGAATAATCAAACTTAACTTTATTTCACTTTAAATAAAACAAACACTTCAACTGAAAATTTACTATATCACTTCGCGTACCGCACTGTAACGTCCACTTGACTGTATCGATATCCTCGTGGCTAGCCTTTAAATATCGTAATCGAATGTCGCCGAAATTTCTCCGAAGTTCTGTCGAAGTCGGTAGCATTTTTCTCGCTGCATCTCGATTGGCGGGGAATAATCGTGCACTCGCGCACTCTTACCCACGTCACGCCTGGTTTATGGCTACCAGCGGCGGCCGGCGTTATTTTCTTTCGAGCATAATTCACAACAATATGTAGCGTCGAAGTTTGTAACCAGAGTGTAGTTGCCTTATATTTCTTGGACAATTCCTCAAAGTCAACACAATTTTTTTAGATAATGTTTTATTGATATTGGAGTCTCGCCACTGCTGAAACTTTTCATATGTTGCCTGATACCTATAATAGGAAGTCTGTGATAAAATACCTAGTGACACATTTTTGGCTTTCTCTTTAATTTCGGTAGAATGAGTACACTCCAACTCCCTCAATTTCCATTAACTTCCGACAGTACAAAAAACTTTTGACAGAGTGAAAGCAAATATAGAGTACAAATGAACAGTAACCCGGCAACTGAAAAGCTGACCTTGATCCAGGTTTACTAATTATTTCTTGAAGCTCTGAAACCTCTATATCTATATATCTACAACCAAAAAAAAAGAAAAGTGCTTGTTTTGGATTTATTCTACGCCAGAGAGTCCAGTTTTACCTTTTATTCTAATTTTAGGTAACTTTTGATTTCATACTGTAATCATACATTATGTTGTGTTCCTATAAATAATATTTGTTATGAATAGTTTAACGAAAAAAAATGTTTTTGAAGTTCTCTTCAAGTGCTGTAAACCAATGTCCCAAGATGACCCCACAGCAAATGTCCTAAACTATTGAGGTCCGGAATACTTGGTGGACATGTCTGGGAGCCTGTACGACCTATCTAGCAAATACATTGATTTTGATTCAAATATACGCGCGCCAGTACACTTCAGTTCTTTGGCGAGAAACTGCAGTGATTAAGCCTATTCAACCTCTCATCGAGATTACCGGATCACTATTATGACTGATTGACACTAGCGATCAAATTTTCTAAGTCTCTCCGGCGTCGTATTCATAATTTTCACTTCAGTCTCATTCCAGAATCACAGTTCAACAATGAATATTGTAGAGCTTCCTGATATAATAATGATCTCGATATTTTGGGAAATTTACCTCAGTAATCCGTTTTATTACGAATTCATAACTTTTTTAAGAATGAATTGATTACCAAAAAATATCCAAAATCTATTGAAGCGATTCACGCCATCCACAATAACATGTGTTCAATATGCCTCGATATCTTCGAAATACCAACGTTGCTACTCTTCACACATGCAGTTTCATCGACAGTGATTCAGTTTTACTACACATTCCATATTAAAGTTCACTTCAGGTAGTTGTTGCACAGGTTTTTGCACTTCTACATTGGACTATATTCCGTTTAGGTTCCTTAGTTATAAGTGTCACCATTACGACTTCAATCTCGAAATTATACGACGTCAAAGTTGAAATCGCGACTTCATTCCTTGAGTTACGACTTCAAATTCAAAATTTAACGATTTAACGGATTTCTTGAAACTCGAAGTCCTGAAGTCAATGAAATTAAAAGTTTCATCGAATGCTGTGTGCACCAGCCTGTGTTAATCTTATTTATCTGTTGCAAGCAACAAGCAACGTCAGTTACTTAATCTGTGCTTCAGTCACAGACTGTGTTTCAGTTTCATATTTCACGAAATAAGTGTCCCCAATGTGCACCGCGCTTAAGTGTAAGTACAGAATGTTTATCATTCTGTGGCTCAATTTGGTAACTTTACCTGTTATCTGTTATTGTGATTCGTTACTTTGTGCCAAGGTTGTTAGTTGTTTATTGTTAAATAATATACCTATTATGAATCATTTCTTATCATAATATTTTGTAGGAGAAGCAATTCCGTTTTATTTAGATGTTATTTTGTATACGTAAGATACTGGTAAACACTTGATAATACCAATAGAAATGGATATATATCCTATGCTGATAAAAAGTGATTACAGTGTTATCATCAGAATAAATTCAAGTCCGGTAAGTTGATATAAATCGAGGTTTTTTTTAAGAGAAATGTATTAGTATTAAGTGTTAAAATATATTGTTATTTATTTACTAATATAGGGGTTACAAACAGATTAACAAATCCAATAGAGAACCCACTTTATAATTTTAGTTCAAGTGGGCTTTGAGAAAAAAGAATGTAAATTTTATTTTTTTGTAAATTAAATTGGACAATCGAAGAATAACATAATTCTTATGAGAGTGACAGAGACTACAGAAATGATCACAACTTATCAATGAAAATTTTTTTCATCCTGCGTTTGAAACAGTCTAAAGAGATTTCAAAATATTGAATATCATTGCAAATTTCGTTAAAGGTTTTAAGCATTCTATAAAATGATGAATTTTGAGCAGCATTTGTCCTTGTGCAAGTTAACCTAAAGAATTCTGTACGCCTCAACGTTCTACCGTGAACATTGAACTCGATTTCCGAGTAAAGCTCTGGGCAGTGGACTAATCCTTTCATCAACTTGAAAATCATGATAAGATCCGTAACAGAGCCTACTATGCACATATGCATAATATAAATTGAGGAGAGGTTTTGCCGTTCTGAAATTTTGACAGTTTCTTTTGAGGAATCCATTACGGTTTTTTCTATGTGTGAATTAAATGACAACTTTGAGTCGATAATTATTCCCAAGTCTTCTACTTCTGAAACTGATTTCAGTTCGTGATTTTCAAAGTAATAATTATTTCTGGTTATATTTTTGTTCATGGAGAATGAGATTGACACGCATTTTTGTGGATTAAGAAACAAATCATTATAATCACAAACTTTTTTGAGCCGCTTCAAGTCCTCCTGAATGTCTCCGCTGTCATGTGAATCCTTTACTGTGTGATAGATTTTCAAGTCATCGGCATATAGTAAAAATTTACACTTGTTAAAGCAACTAGAGCTTTCGTTGATGTATATAATGAAGAATAAAGGACTCAAATGGCTGCCTTGAGGAACTCATAATGATACCGTGAAGGGGAGTGATGTAAATCCATTTATGGCCACCATTTGTGACCTGTTATTCAAATAGGACCATATCCATCTCAATAAAAATACCTTTATTGAATGACATTATAGAATTTATTACAAACTCTTTTCAGTTCACTTTAGGTAGAGCAGCGAATTGTAATCATATGTTACTGTCCACAAGCATTTCGAGAATCCATTGCAGTTTCGAAAAACATGGCAACTATTGGATTTTTAAAGACACTGTATGTATCGCTACATCATTGAATGATCAGAAGATTAATGTAAATCTTTTCCAGAACGCAAATGGAACATATTTAAATGGTATGTTAATACAGTCCACAAAAAGTCCCCCACTAATGAATGGTGACATTATCAACTTTGGTGTACAGAATGAATTTATATTCCATTTGGTACGGGGGGGTAGTATATGGGAACAACATAGTGGAGTAGCTGATCATCTTCCAAGTGAAATAGATGTTTATCGAAATTCTTATTCAACCGTAACTCCATATACAACTACCCCTACTTATAGAACAAATCCTACATTCAGAACAGATTCTGCATATAGAACAGAACCTGAATATACAAATAACCCTGTACCTACAACTAGTTCTGCTTACACAACTGCTCATCCATATTTAAATGTTCCTGAGTATTCCACTGGTAATGAAAATATAACTGTTCATGAACGTTCAGTTGTTCCTACTCACAGAACTGTTCCTGAATATACAACGGTTCCCGCTTCTCCAACTGATACTGCATCTATAGAAGACAGTACTTCCTCAGGTATAGTATTTGTTACTGAAATAATGATCATATTTTTTGAACTGAAGAATCGTTAAATAACAACCTGATTGGGCAAAGGATCAGAAAAATCTCTTTTTGTCAGGGTTCCTCAAACATTATTTCTTATAATAGTTTATACTTACTCCTATATAAAACTATACTTTTTATGGGCAGAAAGGTTTCGGCTTTCTTCTTTTCCATTTTTATAGAAACAATGTGGGAATCTTCTGAAAAAATGAAATGATTGATTTCATAATCAACTCTACAAAGATGTGCAGATCATGCAGAGAAGTAACCACTTTCAGACGCAAACTGGAAAAAAGTCCTCTTGAAACAACTACTTTTATATGAACATTGAATTACAGGAAAAAAATACTTTTGAAACAATTGCTTTTAAGTGAACATTGAGTTGAACAAAAAACACTTCATCCTATTCAGGAGAAAATGTTTTCTATAAATCAATGTTCGAGAGGGTTTTTTTTCCAGTTTGTGTCCAAAAGTTACTTCCTTGCATGATACACAAATCTTTGTAAAGAGTTGATTTTTGAATTAATTACTTCTTCCTTTCTTTGGAGGATCCCCACATTTTTTGTATGAAGATGGAGAAATAGGAAGCCAAAACCTATTTTTCTCAAAAATTGATCCCTGCTAAAATATACTCCTTTCAATTTATTAAATGGAGCTCTAAGGATGGATTTGATAAAATGCAGAATATTGGCGAAAAAGATATATATTTTCTACAATTTTTCTGATCCATGATGGAAGCAATTCATCAATTGAAATATTATTTGGATCAGTAATTATTCTTTCTCTTGGAAGATAAATTTTGGATGAATATTTGTTTTAATGGCTCGTTCTAGCTTTTGAAAAATTTCTAATCAAACATATTTTTGTGAGAAGTCAAAATTCCGTATTTCCACTTTTGGAGATACCGCCGTTCCAAAGTCAAAAAACAAACTATTTCAGGACCTCACTTTTGGTGATAAAAGCTCGTAAAATGACACCTTGTCATGATTATCTGCTCTGAACCTTCATTCACTTGGCACTTCCTTTTTTTTTATACAAAACTTTTAATTTTCTCAATATTATACCTTTTTCAGCAATTTACATCATATTTAACTGTTTATGAAATGGACACATTCATTAAAGAGTTTTCAAATTTATATCATTACATTTCTCTCTGCAATAAAGAAGGTAGATTGAATCTGCTAAGTCCAATGGATGAAAGGACTTCAAATAGTTATGTTGCTCGCTAGGTTACTTGTGGAGTAATCCAGCGAGCATTTGTTCAATGATTTTCAAGTGTATGGGATTGAAAAAATAATTTTGCCTTCCTCAGTAGATAATTGGTATTTGTATTTTTAACTTATTTCATTTCAATGTTTTCAATCATTGTGTTTGTTGGATACTAGTAACAAGGCGTTTGAATTTTTTTAGTTCCTCTCAATTTTGTTCAACCTATAATTGAACAGTTTTTACTTTGAATTTGTAGAACATGGACTACAGTGTGGTAAAAGACCAAAATAATCTAAGCTATCAACTGACCCTATAAAAACCAGTATTGCTGTCTTAACAAGCAAGACCTGTCTAATTCTTTGAACAGTAAACAGTAAGTCTATATTTATCATTGTCTTTTTATTTCTCATTCTCCCTTCAGAGTGTACGCTTTTAGTGTCTTATACTTGTGGGGAAGAGCAATCTACGATGAAAGTTAGTTATCTAAGAAGACATAGCGAAAACATTTGGTGATGTAAGGTTCTTAATCAAAAAAGGTGAAATTATTGTTTCGCTTATAATCCATGGTAATATAATGAAATCATCTATTCTATGATATGCACTCTGTTCAGAATCATAAATGAATCCTTTCTTTGTGGTTCTGTTTTCAACAATAAGTACCTGAAAAGTTGTTGTAATTTTCGTTACGTTATTCAAAATGACCATGAAGTGGGGAATGTATAGCTTTTTCAATTTGAAAGTCAAGTTAAAGGAAAGCAATGATTTTTTTTTCGTGAGAATTCGTCATAAATATTCAGATATTACTTGTTCAATTTATCTATCGCAATATTCTATTAAACAAAAAAGTAAAAGCCAACTCTTCATAAATAATGACTATACAGTAGATTCAAAAAATATTTCGTGAGCTAGAATGAGAAGCACAGCTTTCCAAAAGATTCGAATTGCAAAGGAATGAAAATTAAAACTCCAATTTACTACTAATAATTGCCATTTATACATAAGAACATATCTAACTTATCTCTTTGATCTCCAGTAGTTTTGTATTGATGCTAGCGCCACCTTGCGGCAAAGATCTCGAATATAATTTGTTTCTATGACTAGTAAAAAATTAAATAAAACTTCAGTGAGGATCAAAATATTCTTTCAAATTTTAAGCTTTCGATTTCAAACGGACAAAATCTATCTTTGATTACTCGTTTTATTTTTAATTTACTATTTTAGTTCAATTTATTGTTATAGTGCCTACAGAAGTAGCAGGTCCATCAAATACCCCTCAAGAATATACAACAAAAAGGGAAATGCCCAAAGCAACAACTAGTTCAGAAACTGAGAATGGGGAAGTAAGTGACTAGAATATATTCAATTCACTTTTTGAAAATTTTTTGTAATTTTTTTATGTACATTCGCAGGAACTCCAAGATGAAATGCAGTGTGCCGTATGTTCTGAAATGTTTATCAAGGCGACTACATTGAACTGTTCGCACACATTTTGCAAATTTTGCATTGAAACTTGGAAGAAAAATAAATCTGCCTGTCCAATTTGTAGGACAAAAATTACATCGATGAATCCAACGTTGGTTCTGGACAATGTCATAGAAATGGTAAAAATATTTTGTGTTTATTCATGAATTCACTGAAAAAAATCAATAAGTATGACTATAAGTAAGCTTACCTACTTATACTCAGACTTATCCTTTAAAAACAGTTGGGTCCAACAATGATTCGTGATATCTATGGAGGGTCGAAACACCGCAGTCGGGTGTTCGATCAGAATGCTTTGTTTTTTGGTTCTGGTTTGAAATGTGACTAACCCAGATCCTTCATAAAAACTTCAAGAATATATTTTGTTTTCATAATTTTTTTCATTCGAGGTTGTACAAAATGGGTCAGAAGAAGTCAAACAACACAGAAAGGAGATATTGGAAGACAGACAGAAATGTGTGGAACAATCAAAACATAAAAGGGGGGACTCAAGTACAGGTAATTTTTTTTAGAATTCTTCAGTTATGATAATAATAATATAATTCAAAAAGATGATTGAAATATATAACTCAAACGTATTACCAACAAAAATATTTCTCCCATACACACAGGCGCTCCACTAATTCCTAAACACTGACTTAACATGTTCAAGGAGAACGGATGAACATCTTCACTGGCAGCAGGAGGTTGCATATCTTAATGAGGCTCTTGAACTGATTTCAAATTGGGGTCAAATTACAAGTCAGCTCTGTTCCTATTTGTCGCATTGAAAAACAAGTTCTGTTTATACTCCTAAAACCAAATTGTGATGAAAGAATAATGTTTTTGGCAATAAACACTTTGAGTCACTTCTGGATTATTCCTTTGAAAAATATTCAATTGTTATAGTATGATAATGTTTAGTTATATTAGTTTTTTATCTCTCATACTCTTGAAAATGATAATATCTACTAGGTGGTCACATTTGTAATTGGAAACTTTTTCGAGTTAGAATGTGATAATTTAGTCTATACTACCAGCAAACTTTGGTTATGATTTATTAAAAATTTACTAGATTTTCGAATTATTTACAGGTTACAAAATCATAATAGACTTGAGTTAGAAGTTGAGCAGAGAAATTTTAATAGAAGAATATTAAAAATTTCTTTTTTGAAGTCGAATAATTTCATATCTGTTGAACGTTTTGGTCTGCACTTGATATCTCCTGATGATGTTAAAGAACTGGCTGTTGAGAGACAGTGCTTTAGTTGTGTGGGAAAAATGTTTTCATTAGATTCTCTCGATCTGTAATTTTGTACAATTACAATATTGTTTAGCAAGTTTGATGTATATTGTTCCGTTTCTTCTAGAAGAATCAAGGATAGAAATGGTATCAGAAGACTCAGACAGCGGTGATGAATCAGATGGAATGAATTGGTATGTCATATCACTTGAACAATAAAATGTGCTTCTCAAAAGTAATGAATGAATTCGGTAAAAACATTGACAGAAAAATGCTCAGTCGAGTCTAATTTCACTTTTGAATTTTCATTCATGCGTATCACTTTCAACCTCTTTTCCCCCAAAGAGAGACAATCCCCAGAAGTTCATATTTTGTTCGATAAAACTGACGCAAACTGACCTCCAATATTACAGTCAACAGCAAATTATATTGAAATTGAATTTTGCGATCTTTTAAAAGATGTACATGAATTTTCCCATGATGGTTTTGATCGACGATAACAATTTTGAGCTGGTAATTAAATTCTCCAATTGTTCAATTAGAAATATCGGCTTTTCTGATAAATTAATTTTTTTTTGTTAGCCAAGCTGTTGATACTTTTTTCACTCGTAATTATTTTTTTTTAAATTTTTCATTTATCCTTATATACTGGGTGATAATGAAATCATGGTACATGACGTCATTCAGTTATTTGTAGGGTAAGAAATTTTAAAATCATAACGAAGGTATACTTCATTAGAGCTGATGTAAAAAACTTTATTCAGCAATAAATGTTTGTGTTTTCCTGAATTTATTCAATTTCTTTCAATATTCCTTGGAATTGAAAATTATTGATCTCCCTCTTAATGCTTAGTTTTTTTTCAAGGTTGGGGCAAATGGCCGGTACTAACCTAGAGCGGTTGTACATTCCAACTATATACTGTTTCTACTGTGATATAAGAGGACACTCGTCCAGCAATTGTCCTTCTAGAGATCTAGATGATGTTCATTATCGTGTTTTGTGTTAACAAAATTAGAATCCTTTTCCAGTATTATAATGCATCAGAGTAATCACTGGTGTGGATCTCTTTATGTTTGAATCTCAGGTAGTTGAACATAACTAAGTTTAAGAATATCAATTTTGAATAAGTAATTTTTTACGATATTCCAGTCTGATAACAAAAACTTGAGTTACTATATTTTAAATTCGACTGCTATTTCATATTCTACTACTACTACTATATTTTTTTTAAATACATGTTCTTCTGAGTTTTTTTTCATTTATTTTTTTCAGCATTCAACGTACGCATGCACAAAATTACATCCATGCTACTGTAACTATTGTGAAATAAGAGGACACTTATCGAGTAGATGTCCTTTTAGTCCTCAACTACAACAGCAACAACAACTTTGATGACAACGACAAATACAACAACAAAAAACTTGTTTTCATATTCAGTTTTGATAAAATATTAATCTATTATCAGTTTTATAATGCACCAGAGTGTGGAATTTTATATCTGAATCTGAAGTAGTTGAACATGACTAAGTTCAAGAATATCTATTTTGAAGAAGTAATCTTTCATGATATTCCAGTCTGATAACAAAAACTTGAGTTACTATATTTTATGATAAATTTGACTGCTATTTCATATTCTACTATTAGTTAGTTTTATATGTTTCTCAAGTAGATATTTCCCTGAAACTTTTTCTTTCATTTATTTATTTCAGTGTCTAGGATGTCGACAAAAAAACGCACAAAATTACATCCATGAAATCAAACTGATTTCAAAAATACAATGTATTTGATATCGATATTTTGCTCAACAAAAACCAAGACTTTTATGGGACGATTTCAATGACGAATATCAAAGGTAAACAGCGTGTTTGGTATCGGATGATGAATACAACATTTTTGATATATTTTCTACTTGCTGCAAAAAGTGCAGAGCTACAAAGTGATTTTTCATTCGGCAATCAATGTCATACCTTGGTTTTGCAACTCCCATAGTTGAACTAAAAGATTTTCTGATAGATAGATAGATTTATTCTCAATTGATACACAAAAGTGTTTACAGTCGTGTGTTACATAAATTAATGTCATCAGCTTATAAACCAATGGTTAGTTACATGAGTCAGAATAAATATCTTAAAATGTTAGTTCAACTAATACAACATATATGCACATAGACAAAAAACTTACTAAATATAGTTAAAATGAATGAAAGGTTACCAATTATGAGAACACATGCTTTATCCCATCATAATAATCATTTGTACTGTATCATCTGTATTGTAACGGTCATATTTTTTGAAGTGAAGAAAAATAAAATTTTTAATTCACTGTTTGGGCAAAGGATCAGAAAAATAAATTTTTTGTCAGTGTTTCAAACTTACTTTCATCGAGGGTTCATCAAACACTATTTATTATATTATAATAGTATATATTTGCCCCTCTACAAACACTTTTTGGAAAAGAAAGCTATTCTCTTTCAGCGTGCGAATCCTAGGACCTCAATCAATATCTGATTTGTGAACCGTCTAATTCTAATGGAATTCCTGAGGAAATTGTTTCTGGAAATATTAAATTCAATACTGAAAGAGATTTTTCCAATGCTTTTGCAAAACACTTAATATCTGTATATGAAGGTTCTGCTAATAATATAAAATCTCAAATTAGAAAATGGGGGCTTTTCCATTTCTTCACCATCAAAAAAAAGTACCTCCAGAAAAAATTCTCGTGAAATACCATATAATTTTTAGAAACTGTTTTGTGTTAGAATCTGCCTTTGGATATTTTTCTCGTAAGAATGTATCTAGTTGGAAGTAGATTGATTTTGCTAAGTTTCATGGATGACGAGACTGCAAATAGTTATGATGCTCGCTAGGTGGTTCTTGGAGTTATTTACACAGACTACTCAGAACATACGAGATGATGACCATAGTTGACGATGCCGAAGACACAAAAACAAAAAGAATGAATTTGTTCAATGATTTTCAGACTTTTGAGTTCTAAAAAAAAGAATTTTGCCTTCCTCAATGGATAATTGGTGTTTGTATTCATCAACTGTTTCGTATTGCAATTTTTTTAATCATTCTATTTTGTTTGTTGGATACTAGTGATAAGGTGTTTGATGTTTCTAGTTGCTTTCAATTTTGTGCAATCGATAACAGTAAGTCTTATATTTATCATTACCTCTTTATTTATCATTCTCCTTTCACGAGTGCATGCTTTTAGTGTCTTAGACTTGTGTGGAAAAACAATCTAGGATTAAAGTTAGTTATCTAAGAACGCATAGCAAAAACTTGATCATTCGGTGATGCAAGGGAACATGTTATGTAATTTTTTTATGTTCATTCGCAGGAACTCCAAGATGAAATGCAGTATGCCATATGTTCTGAATTATTTATTGAAGCGACTACATTGAACTGTGCGCACACGTTTTGCAAATTTTGCATTGAAACTTGGAGGAAAAATAAATCTGCCTGTCCAATTTGTAGGGCAAAGATAACATCAATGAATCCAACCTTGGTGCTAGATAATGTCATAAAAATGGTAAAACAATTTTGTGTCTATTTATGAATCCACAAAAAAAATCAATATGTATGACTATAAGTGAGCTCATTTACTTATACTCAGACTTATCCTTTGAGGACAGTTGAGTCCAACAAAACATTCATGATTTAGCGTTGCACCTCTGATGATACCTATGGCGGGTCGAAACGCCGCAGTCGGATGTTCAATCATGAAAGCCTTGTTTTTGGGCTCTGGTTTCAAATGAGAACAAAAAAATGCATGGACAGGTCTAATTTCACTTTTGAATTTTCATTCATGTATATTATTTTTAACCATTTTCCCCTCAAGGGGTGACAATCCCGAGAAGTTCATATTTTGTTCATTGTACATAGCTTCATTCAGTTATTTGTAGGATAAGAAATTTTAAATTCGTAACAAAGATATGCTTCAGTGTTTTCCTGAATTCAATTTCTTTTAACATTCCCTTGATTAGAAAATTGTTGATCCCCCTATTAATGCTTAGTTTTTTTCAAGGTCACGGCGAAGGGCCCATACTAACCCAGAGCGGTCTTACATTCGAGAAGTAGATACTGTTACTGCTGTGGATCAAGAGGACACTGGTCTAGAGATTGTCCATCTAGATAACTAATACAATGGCGACGAATACAACAGCTAATTCGTATTTTTGTTCAGTTATAACAAAATAATAATCTGATTCCAGCATCATAATGCATCAGAGTAATATCCGGTGTGGAACTTCATGTCTGGATCTGAAGTAGTTGAACATAACTAAATTTAGGAATATGCATTTCTATATTTTCCAGTCTGATAATAAAAAATTCGACTGCTATTTCGTATTCTACAATTAGTTTTATATGTTTTTCAAATACATATTTTCCTAAAACTTTTTTCATTTATTTTTTTCAGCAAATAGACACACCCACAAAATTACATCCATGAAATAAAACAGATTTCAAATTTATAATGTAGAATCAATATTCAAGTCAACAAAAACCAAGACAGTCTCAAAGTCACTTAAGGTCAATAGAGTACCTATTACGGATTCCTTGTAACAGGTAACCATATAGGTAATGCCAGAGACCAAAATGTATGTATTCATGATCCAATATACCAAACAATACTTTTTTCTTATATATCTTAGTCTGTTTTACTGGTACAGCTAAGCAATTCAGTATGTTTGTCGAATATATCAATTTCATTCACTCGTCAATAAAATTCACCACTGACGGAGGTAAATAATTCAATAAATTACCTCGACTTGACTAGTACAAAAATGGAAATAAACATAAGTAAATTAATTAAAGATAATTAAAACAAAACTTCAGTGTGAATAGATCAGTAGTATATAAGAGCATTTTCTAGAATGGAAAGACCAATGCCACATTTGCAAAACATTTTTTAGCCAAAGGACATGAGTTTATTCATGATTATGACTTTTACATTCAGGAGAGAAAAGTTTGAAACTTAATCTTTCAGAATGTTTAGAAATAATAGATTTAAGATTGGGTTTTTACTGAATGACCAAATAGAATTAAATAACTCTTCATTACTGAATATTTTTCTGTTTTTCCGTCGGGTATCTGCCACATGCACCTACAAATCGTAGGTATACATGAGAGGTAAGGGGTAAGGTGTTTTCACCTGAACCTGGATCATGTCATATCAATCTCTTTGGAATAATAATCATGATTCCGACTCCCACCTTTGTGTTTGTGCCCTATAGTTCATAGGCTAAGACGTTCAGGACTCGTGCTTTTATGAAACTTTTTTCTCAAATTGAATCCTGAAGTATTCTCCTTTCAGGCTAATACTAGCATATTATCCAGAAATACTTTGAGGTATTGGACCACAAATGGAAAAAAAGGTATACTAATAAATAAAAGTATGTAATATTCAAATCAGAATTCAGAGCGGCAGTAAGATTCTAAAAACCATAAGTTATTATCTCAAGAAATTTATTACAACATTGAATGGGACACAAAACACTTTTATCGTATTCAGTGAAGAAGAAAGTGCTATTCTTCCTCGCAATCGTCTAAAGCACTCAAATCTGTGCAATTTTCAATTTTTGGGATCTTCTTCACACACTCCATGTCAAAACCATCGAAGAATTTTTTGAATTTTTCCACAGCAATAGCGCCATCTTCATCAATTACCCCCAAAGTAACCATTACACAGTGGGTATAACAGAGTACCTCCTCGTCATCTGTACCAGCATCAGGATTTTTCTCAATTTCATCAACTTTCTCCTTTGCTATTTTGGTTTCCTTTATGCAAAAGTCTTTGACGGTGATATTAGATGAATTGGGAGGTGCACACTGAAAGAGATTAAAGGTGAAAAATTTTAGAACAAAAATCTAGAAATTATCCGAAAAAATTTGTATATTTAAGGATCCTACGAATGAACGCCACTAGCATTGGTTAAGGTACGAATCGATAAATTGTTTTATGAAAGAATTAAGCTCATTCCAACAATCAACGTTTTCCAACATATCTCACATGCAAAATCGACAGTTAATTACTCAGGTGTTACACTTGATTTCAGACTAAAGTTCAACAGTCACGTCAACAAGAAAAAAAAAAGTGATTGCAAGAGCCGCACATTTCACAAGTTTAACAAACCCGGGAGCAGGTGCAAGCATATCAACAGCAAGCCGAATATATAAACTAATCTGTCGTTCACTTATTGAATACTCGCACCCACTGTTTCTGAATATCAAACAAAGGGCCTTGAAAACAAAGTATCTTAAACAACGGCTATAAAGAAAATAACAAGATTAATGCATCCCAATAACCTTTCAAACCCTCTGCTCTACCAACTCGCTGGTATTATCCCTATCGAGTGAAGACTACCGTCACTCACTCAGAAGTATGCTAGAAAAGACGACAATGTAGAAATCAATAGAAAGCGTTAGGGAAGCTATAGACTATGCTGTAGACGAACCCTCCGGATATAGAAGGCCCCGACACTCTGTCAAATGAGGCCCTCATGTCCCCCGTTAACAGACGAAAGCTTTTTCATCCACCCCAGCCAAGTAGGGGTACCTCCGTGAAGGGCGGTACTAATGTCTGAGGACTTCATACCGCCATCCCCTCAGTCATGAACCCATTTGTCCTTCTTCGACAATAATCAGCTGAAAGGGTAGGGGCGCTGGGCTCCATTCCGATTGAACTGAAGACGATGGTCAATAGTAGTATCATTAGAAAGTATGCTGTGACAAGAAACCCCCATGCAAGAGTACGACATCGACACCCAACAGGAACACTGTGAGGAAAATTATAACAACTTTATGAGTGAAATTGTTTTGTTTGTTCCATTTTTATACCCATATATTTTTTAATATTGTAAAATAAGCTATGTTATTTCAAAGCAATTTTGTTACATGGGCGGAAGGACTTCGGTCGATAGCCAGTTGAGCAAAATTGTAATTTTGTTCAATAAATTACAATTATTATTATTCAAGCTAATTTTCTGAACTGATCCATGAACTAAGTGAAGGGGCATATGCCTGGAAAATTCCTCTGCAATCCGAGATTCTAGTCTCGCTAGTTTTACATTGTATTTTCTCGACTTTTGATTAATAGTCCACAACACTAGTTTAGGACTGATCATCTGTGGCATCAATAAAAGATTCTCCTCATACGGATTCTGTGCTCTTCATTTTTGTCTATTTTATTTTTCATTCTATTTCTTTGACATTTATTTTTTAAAAAACTCAACCAGAAATTTTGTTCAGATCATTTTTGATATTTTCAACATTTCATTCATTTTTATTTCATTTGTTCTTTCATAGATTTCAAATATGTTAATATATTTTCAAACAATNCACCCTTCGATGCCAAATTATGGGTGAAAGAGTGAAGTTTACATATGAAAATTACCTTTTCATCACTACTTGTCCATACCATACTATTTTCGGAGGCTGAACTTTTGTATATATGTTCGTTTTTGTGTTGTAGATGTGCAATAAGAAAGGATTTTCGAATATTAGAACTAGGGCGCATTCATAAAATATAGTTACCTTTTCATCATTGTTTCTCCATACTGGAATATTTTCGGAGGCTGAAATTTTGTATGTTCTTTTTTTTTGTAGATGTGCAATAAGGAGGGATTTTTAAATTTTCCAACTGGGTTGCCAGCCATGGGGAAAAAGGCGCGTTCATAAAACAAAATTATCTTTTCATAACTGTTTCTGAATGTATATTTAGTATCAGCATTGCACCCATGCGGAGCCGGGCGGGTCGCTGATACTGACATTGTAATGATTTTGATTATAGAAGGTTCAATATGCATTCACATACTTAGATTAACAATTAATTACAAATACAAATTCGAGAGATCAAGTCAATTATATCTATGAAAGTGGAGTAGAAATGAATCTTCCATTTTAAACAGTGGAATGTTTACTCATATATGAACCACTCTGTTAAAATTAGCAAGAACTTTCATGTGAAACCTGGTAATTTGTATCCGAAAAATTATTGATGAACTGCAAAAGTAGGATTTCACTCTGTTTTCCTAGTTCTGCACGTTGAGAACATTGCTGATGTTCTATTGTGTAGGAGCCGTACTTGTTTTGTACATATTTATGCATCCTCATTTGTGCTTAGAACTTATGTGTGCAACCTTGTTCAGTGACATCAGTTGCTAACAAGTTCTATCCAGGAGAATATTTATTAAGCATTTTTTGAATAATAGATAAGATAGATATATAAGTTCATTTCATCACATTAACTAGAAAATGTACAATAGTGACAAGTCAAAATGACAAACAAAAAAAACAATAGGCGCCGGTTATACATGCTAATAGTTATTTCTGCAATTTAATAAAACAAATCAACAGCAAGCCGAATATATAAACTAATCTGTCGTCCACTTATTGAATACTCGCACTCACTGTTTCTCAATATCAAACAAAGGGACTTGAAAACAATTAAAATGCAATGTGCTTTATGCACGATGGTGCACCAGCGCATTTTAGCATATTGGCACGAAAGTTTTTAATAGTAACATACGGAGATCCCTTGACTGGTCGAGGTGGATCCTAGTGTTTTTGAAAGAGTTCGGGAGCAGATGAGAAGATTGGATTCTTGCATCTGAGCGGGAGTTCTTGTAGATTAAGAAACGTTGCATGTAATTTTTGGTAATAATATGTTATTGTCGAAATTTTTTTTCGCTCCGTTTCTTCCAAACAAAAAGCGCCCTAAAAAATCATCAAAAGACAAAATATCCTTAGAATAGTCCCTTAAATTTTTGCCGCATGTTTAATAAACACCCTGTATACTGCAAATTGGCGCCTCAGTGCCCCATTCAAACTAAGTATCCTCGACAAAAGGATATCGATTAATTGACAGTGACACCAGAAAGTCAAAAATCGAGACGTCAAAATCTTAGAAAATGGAATGTTTGAGAAAGTTTCGACGTTAAATTAAAATGCTCCAAAGTTTGCTCCGCTGGTAACTCCAACTCCTAAGCCAATCTATGAAATTAAAAAAAAATGAATCGAATAGATAGAAAAAATCAGTGACATTCTAACTTCAAAGATCCACACTCATCAACTAGAAAAGTTTGTTGTTTTTGGTCAGGAATCCAGACTGTGCAAGCTAAATAAAGCCTTATATGGACTCAAGCAAAGAAGCAGATAATAGAAGCGAAGGCTGGATTATGTTCTAGAATTTATGATTTTTCAGCAGCTAAAAAATTTACAATGCGTATATTTTAAATACAAAACAATGGCAGCACCAATACTCCTGACCGCTCTGGATTGAATGATTCCGTACAGTCTATCTCGTCTTGTGTTTGTAAATATTTTGCTGGAAAAATCCTCATTTGTTTACTTTGTAGTAAATGTTCAAGAGGTAGCAAAAACGAATGTAAATTTCT